GGGCACACTGGGTGCAGGCTGCGGTGCAGGCTGGGGTACAGGCCAGGTTGGGGGTCTGCAGACCCGTGGGCTGCCCTCGGGGCACAGAGGAGAATCAGCAGGGTTAACTGCAGGGCCAGGGCTGAGGCGACAGCCGGGACAGCCCCTCCGCACGGGAACAGCACAGGGAGGGAGCGAGTCGTCTTGAAGGACACCCCTTATCGCCCATCAGCCCGGTGCCAAGCACGTCCTCCCAGGGCCAGCAAGGACGTTTTCTGTCTTGTAGGCAGAGGGAGGGCCGGGTCCGGGGTGTGTGCAGGGGTGGGGGCCACTCTTGGGGTCCAGGGTGCCCAGGGTTTAAGTGGACCTCGCAGGGGGCTCTGGCCGGGTGACAACGCCCAAGACGCAGAGCCCAGGCCTTGGTGGACCCCGGGGACTGGTGGATGGGACGGCTCCCTGGGGGTGGGGTCTGCGAAGACCCGGTCCCTCGGCCGGCCTCCCCCGGTCCCTTGTCTCCCCCCGGGGGGGCCGCACGCACACAGCGGTCTGACCTGGGCCCCCTGCAGGCAGGAGCTGCCCGGCGGCCGAGGGTGCGGGCAGGGCCCCAGGTCTGAGGGTCACTTGGCACGAGGCGGCCAGGCGGCGGCTGGGAGTGGGGCGGGCGGCCAGGGCAGCCCAGTGGGGTCCTGCTGCCGGCGACTCTCCCAACGGCTCCGCCAGGCTGACCTGGATCCGCAAACGCCGTGTGTGCGGGAGTCTGGGCCACGGGGGTCGGGGCTGGGGGGACCCCACGGAGTGCCCGGCCCCTCGGCGGCCTCGGCCTGGCAGGAGCGGAGGGAGGATCCCAGGCACAGGACCTCCCTGGTCACCGGGGGCTCTCGGTGGGTCTGGACCCTGCACCCCCCCCGCGGGGGACTGGCCACCCCACACCCGGATGACGCCTTGGGCTGTGGGGGGCCCATGAGGTGACAGCGGGGGCCAGGGACTCCCAGCTGCCGGCCACTCGGGGGCCCAGCCCGACAGGCCTCTCCATACCCTTCTGGGCTCCTGATAATCAGGAAAACAAGTTTAAGGAAACAAAAGGGCGACGCGGGGATCGATGCTCGGGAGCAGGGCCTGCCCCACCCACCGTCTGTCCGTCCGTCCTCCCAATGACCCACTTCAAGGAGCCCAAGGTCAAGGGTGACAGTGTGTTTCCCAGAAGCCCTGGGGCAGGTCTGCGGGGCCTGCGACCCGGGGCACCAGGCAGGACCCCTGTGGTATCACAGGGCACAGCGGCCACCGCAGGGGGGAGGCTGGGGTATGGGCTCCGCAGCCGCTCCCCGTCCAGCCAGTGTGAGCGGGTTTGGGGCGCCCCTGCCTCCTCCAGCAGCGGACGGGGGGACACCCTTTTGCTTCCCCGTCGTGGGCTAAGGGAGCCTGTGTCCCCAGCTGACCAGCCAGGCTCCGCGCCTCTGTGTCCGTCAGCCCGAGGACCGGCCCCATGGCGACCGCAGGCCTGCAGCTGCTCAGGCCACCCCAGGGCCCAGGCCTCGGTGCGGCGGGTCCGGGGGCCACGCGTGTCCATGGGTGGCAGGAGCTGTGCACTCTCGAGGCTTACCCCGGCGCCGTCAGGTTTAGATGCGGCGGCGTCCACCCCAGGCTGCAGGCGGGCAGCGCCGAGGGGCTGCTGTGTGTACACGCACATGCACACGCACATGCACACGCACATGCACACGCACATGCACACGCTTGCATGCACAGTCTGGGCAGGTGCCGGCCGAGGAGGTGTCAGCGGGGCAGCTCAGCTCCCGCACCGAAGTAGGTGCCCGGGCAGCGCCCGCCCACGTTGGGAGACAAGTCGGTCCCCATGGGGGGCGTCCAGCACGGTGTTCACAGAGCTTCCTGGGTGCGGGTGGCAGGCGGGGGCCCAAGTCCGAAACAGAGGGTCTTCGGGTCCCCACCTGCCCGTCCGGCCCCCCCCGCCCCCCGCACAGCGCGTGGTCTCTGCACGGGAGCCTCCGGTCCTTGGGCAGCTGTCCCCGGGTGTGCGGGGGCCCAGGGACAGCCGTCCACCTGACCCTCTGGACTCCCGGGCGGTGTTCCCGGGGCGGGGGGGGTCTGGGACTCGCTGCCAGGGGCTCCGGCGGGGCAGGGAGGACGGGGACAGACGCGCACTTTCCGGGCCCTGACGCAAGCAGTGGCGCGTTGGCAGATAAGTGCGGGCCAGGCTGGCGGGCTCCCAGCTCCGGCGGCCGCCCCCCGGCCCGGGCCCCTCTCAGCCCTGTGCTCACAGCTCGTCTTTGTGCCCCAATCTCACAGGCGTGGGGGTGGACGGGGCCTTGGCACGGCTGGACGCGGGACCCACGTGACAGCGGCCGCTCCGCCCGCCCGACGCCCCAAGGTCGCTGCCTCGCATAAAGGGGCCCGACGGGCCGGGCTGGAGGCAGAGCTCGGGGCCAGCAGCCTGCGGCCAGCAGCCCGGCTCTCCTCCCAGCTCGCACGCTCCGCCGCCGCCCGGACCCGCTGCCCGGGACCTGCTGCCGCCCGGGACCTGCTGCCCGGACCCGCTGCCGCCTGGACCCCCACCTCCCGGCACCCGCCGCCGGACCCGCACCCGCTCACGGGCCCTCCCACGGCGAAGCTGCTCGCTGTTCCTTTTTCCTATGCATATACTTCTTTGAGGGTCTGGCCTGAAGAGGTGTAAGGCATGGGAAAAGGGGGCAACGAGGTCCTCCTCGCGCCATGGAGCCGCCCGGGCCGCCGGGCGAGGTGGGTCCCAATTGCAGGACGAGGCTTTGGTGCGGCCCCGGGGGCTCTGGACGGGCGCTGGGCCCTGGCTGACCTTTGCCCGCCCCAGGGGTCAGGGAAGCTGCTGGGACAGGACGTGGGTGGGGGGCAGGCTGGGGGGCTGGGGCCGGGGTGGCTCCCCAGAGGCTGTGGGGGGGGGCGCTGGGTCAAGGCGATTCTTCGTGATCCTGTAACCGCGAGTGTCGTTCATGTTCTGATCAGAAATGTCAATAAAGCTAATTGTGTGGGAACCTAAATGTGATTGTTTTGATAACCGGTTTGAACCAAAGCCGCGTGGGTTGGTGCGGGGCTGTCTCCCAGCTGCCCGGGGGCGGGGGGGCGGGGGGGGCGGGCTCGGGGGAACTTAGGGAGGAGCGTGTGGACACGGACATGGGGCCCACATGGCTCCCGGCACAGCGGGGACAGCGCAGCGGCCTGGTGATGCGTCACGCGGCTGGGCGACCCCGGGGAAGGGCTGGGATCCGCCGACCGGGGTGGGGGCCCGCATCCCTGGAGCCTGGAGCCTGAGGTTCCCGTGTAGACAAATGGACAGGAGCTTCCACGGCGACTGTGGGGCCTTGGTCGGCGAGTCGCCCAGCAGACCGGCCCCTCGGGCCCCCGCACCCGGCGCCCCCTGACCTCCTTTGATGGCTCCTCCCCCCAGGGCTGCGGTGGGAGGGGGGGACGGGCTGCCCCAGGAGACCTCGGGTGTAGGCGCCACCCTGGGGCCCAGCACCAGTCAGTGCGGCCAGGAGAGCCGCTCCAGGGAGGGGGCGGGGGAGGGGCAGAGGCATCCCCGAGGCTGGAGTTAGCCGCAGCCACAGCGGGGACACCCTCGGAGTGTGGGGACGCCGTCCTGCGAGCAGTGGGGTGGGGGCCTCGCCCATGAGCCACACTGTGTCTTCCCTGGGGAGGGGGTTCCCAGTCATCCACGACCTGCACGGTGCGGGGGGAGGGTCCTGGGGGCTGCAGGGGGCGCCAGGGCCGCTGCATGGGGGCCTCACGCTGCCCCTCAGGCCACGGCTGCTGGAGGAAGGTGGGGTCCTGGGGACAGTCCTCCCTCTCGCCCGGGCGCCCCGGACTGGAACGTGTGCGGAGAATCGTGCCACAGGCCAGGAGCTGTGTGTTCTCACGGGTCGGGGTGCAGGGTCACTCCAGGTGCCCCGAAGCCGGGCCCGGCAGGGGCAGCGTGTGTTCAGCAAGCCCGTGACCTCCGCTCTGCTGGCAGGGCTGGGGGTGCCCCCCCCCCCGCTCACCGCCCGGGCCCTCGGCCTGTGGGCTGGGCCTGCACCCCCAGCCAGCGCCCCTGCAGCCCCGCGGCCTGGACACAGGCTCCACCCCTGGGACCCATGACCTGGCCCCGGGGCCACCTGGTGTTTCCGACGCGAGACCTGCAGGGAACCAGGCTGCTCCTGGCCGAGGCTTGACCCCCCAGGGAGGGAGGTGGGGGAGGCCTGTGGCGCCCGGCCCTTCGGACAAGTGACCTCCGAGGAGCCCCAGCTGGCGTCCACTATAAAGCCCCCGTTTTCTGTAAACTGGAATGTAGGTTTTTGGCAAAAAGACTATTTATCTCACAGGCTCCTGTGTCTGTGCTGGCCACAGCCGAGGGCGACTGCTGGTCATGAAGGCCACTCGGGTTACAGAGAGGAGGCCCAGGGGTGTCCGCTGCCCGGAAGTGAGCTGCTGCTTCAGCCGCGGGATGCCCAAGCTGCAGGGGGGCGGATCCCGAGAGCAGAGGGACCACGCAGAGGCACCTGGGGACATTTCCACGTTTGCACTCGAGGCTGTTAGCACGCAGCACGAGGAAGTGTCCAAATCTTTTTTATGATTTCATTTTTAGGTAAGCTCCCGCCCGCCGTGGGGCGCGAACTCACAGCCCCAAGATCAACAGTCTCAGCCTCCACCATCAGAGCGGGCCAGGCGCCCCCGCAGCTTTATTTTTTCCAACACTTTATATTGAATAAATTACTCTCCTATCACAGGCTACGAGCCCAACGTTTCAAAGTCCACTTTCGGCTTTGGGCTTTGTCCCCCGACCCCTCGTCGAGTCCTTAAACCGAGCCTGTAGTATCCAGGGAAGGAGCAGCTGGGTGGGGTGGGGGTTCCAGGTCCCGGCTGCCGAGGGGGTGCAGGGCTCGCAGGGTGGACGTCTCCCGGGGAGATGCGGGGCCCTGCATGCACCGCGCCGTGTGGACGGCAGGTCGGCCCTGCTCTGCTCCCGCTCCCGGCGGCCGCTGGGCTGTCACGCGTCCTCAGAAGGCATCCCCGGTCTGGGGCAGGGCACACAGGCCCCAGGGCGCCCTGGACAAGGCCAAGGCCGGGCCCAGCTCCTGGCCCCCCGGGTCCGGGAGGCAGCACGTGGGAGGCTGTCTGCTGCACGAGGCCCACACTAAGGCCACGGAGGCTCGATCCACCCGGCAGAGATCCCAGAAGGGGCCAGGAGGCTGCCCCAGAGCTGGAGGCCCCAGCGGGGGCGCCCAAGGACACAGCAGCCGCAGGCCACTGCGCAGGGCAGGGGGAGGAGGGCAGAAGGTCACTGGAGGGTGGAGCCCCCCGGGGAAGGGGCCGCTCAGCTGCGAGTCCTGCAGTTGGCGTTTGTGTTTCATCCGGCGATTCTGAAACCAGGTTTTTATCTGCGGGGAAACCTCCATCAGAGCAGGGGCGGGAACAGCCGCCCCCCACCAGGCCCGGCGCCCCTCACCTGCACCCCCGGGAGAGCCTCACCTGCACCCAAGAAACTCACCCGCACCCAGACAGCCTCGCCTGCATCCCCGGAGAGCCTGGCCGGCATCCCCATGAAACTCACCTGTACCTCGAGAGTCTCACCTGCACCCCTGGAGAGCCTCACCTGCAGCCCTGAGCCTTGCCTGCACCCCGAGAGCCTCGCCTACAGCCCCAAGCCTTGCTTGCACCCCAAGAGCCTTGCCTCCCCACCAAGAAACTCACCTGCACCCCCGGAGAGCCTCGTCTGCAGCCCCGAGAGCCTCACCTGCACCCCCGAGACCTCAGCTGCAGCCCCGAGACCTCACCTGCAGCCCCGAGAGCCTCACCTGCAGCTCTGACCCTCACCAGCACCCTGAGAGCCTTGCCTACATCACAAGAAACTCACCTGCACCCTTGGAGAGCCTTGCCTGCACCCCGAGAAACTCACCTGCAGCCCCGAGAGCCTCACCTGCACCCCCAAGCCTCGCCTGCAGCCTGAGAGCCTCACCTGCACCCTGAGCCTCGCCTGACCCCCGAGAACGTCACCTGCAGCCCTGACCCTCGCCTGCACCCCGAGAGCGTCGCCTGCAGCCCCGAGAACCTCACCTGCACCTCTGAGAGCCGCATGTCGCGGGCCAGGCGCCGGCGCTCCAGGGGGCCCAGGTAGCGGCGCTGCCGGAAGGCGCTCTCCAGGGTGCTGAGCTGCTCTGCGGTGAAGGCCGTGCGCACGCGGGGCACCCGCAGGCCGTCCCCGCCCCACCCTGAGGGAGGACGGAAATGCCATTAAACACCATCAGCCCAGCCGTCGGCCCACGCCACGCGGGATGGGGGGGCCCCAGCACCCAGTGTGTCAGGGCGCAGGCCCCTCCTCTGCCGGCTGGAGTGTGGGCTGGGGTCCGGGCGAGGAGGGCGCCTGGCGAACAGCTCTGCAGCCCCCCAGCAGTTTCACCCAGGACGGCGGTGCCCCCAGGCTGCCTGCCCCCAACGTGAAGCTCTGGCAAGTCTGTGTTAGTCCTTTTTTATTGATTTAAGGTTTACTTCCCTTGGGGGGCGGCCAGGGGGAGAGAGCACGTCCGGCAGACTCCCTGCTGAGCTTGGAGCCCGACCCCGGGAGACCCCGAGATCAGGACCTGGGCCGAAACCAAGAGTCAGACACTCAAGCAGTGTCCCCCCGCGCCCGTGTGTCCGCCGGGAGGTGGCGGGAAGCGCGAGCGCTGGCGTGCGGAGCTCGGCTGCCTGGTCGGGCCTCACCCGAATGCCAACGGGCTCTAGTTCTGGTGTGGGGGGAGCAGAGCTTACCAATGACTTTAACACTTCCCTGGAAGCAGGCAGGGGACCAGGGGAGCGACCCTTGCCTTGTAGGGGGCGGGGGCAGGGTGTAAGGAGTCGGGGCGCAGGGATGACTGGCTGGCTTTTGTTGGGGAGGGGGCACTGGTTGCAGAGAATAAATGTAGAATTTAACTTCATTGAAGTATAACATTTCCCCCTAAGATCAAACTCTTTCAAAAATGAACTTAACAGGGGCGCCTGCCTTTGGCTCAGATCGTGATCCCGGGATTGGGATCGAGTCCTGCATCGGGCTCCCTGCATGGAGCCTGCTTCTCCCTCTGCCTGGGTCTCATGAATAAATAAATAAATAAATCTTAAAAAAAATGAATTTAACAGATGACATCAATCCCACTTTTGATCACATAGGGCTTTTTTTTTTTTTTTAAGGATCCTATCCATATGTTCACGAGAGACACAGAGAGAGAGAGAGGCAGAGGCATAGGCAGAGGGAGAAGCAGGCTCCATGAGGGGAGCCTGATGTGGGACGCGATCCCGGGACTTTAGGATCACACCCTGGGCCAAAGGTGGTGCCAAACCCCTGAGCCACCCGGGCTGCCCTGACCACTCAGGGCTTTAAACCTAAAAGCAATGATTAGGTCACAAAGACCGAGAAATGCTCCGCAGCGAACAGCAAGGGGTCGGGGGGATGCCCTGCAGCCGAGGCCCGGAGCTCCCAGGTGCAGACAGCAGGGACCCCGAGGAGCCCCGGACCACCCCCCGCAGGGCCGCCGGTGCACCGCCAACGGGCCTGAGTCCCGAGGCCTGGGCGCCCAGTGGGTGGGCTCTGTGAGCTTCAGGACGTGCGTGTCCAGCCCCACAGCCGACCGCACGCTGGAAGCCCGGTTCCCCCGCGGCGCGAAATGACCGTGTCACGGCTCAGGGCCACACGCCAGCCCTTCCAGGACGTGGGAGGGGGAGCCCCAGGGGGCCTGAAGACAGGAGACCCCGCCCCCATGGCTTTGTAGTCCAGGCCTCCCCCCAACCCTCCCGGCTCCCATCTGGGAAGGGAGGCACCCCCGGCCCCAGCCTTACCAGCCGTGGGCGTCCCGGGCGCACACGCTTCTGAAGACTTGGCCTCCTCCACGCCCGCACCGTGCGGGGGTTCCCCGCTGCTGCACCCTCTGGCGGGAGCGGAGAGGCCCCCCCGAGGGGCTTCAGCGGGCCTGGAGGGCGGTGACGGCCCCCCGCGGCTGCTCTGGGAAAGCCAGTCCACCGAGCGGAAGCTGGACGGCCGGCGGCGGCTGGGCAGGGGAGGGGACGGAGACATGGCTGCTCACAGGACAGAGGGGGTGACGCACAGGGTCCCGCAGCACCGACGGCGGCTAAGGCACCAGGTCGTCCGCGCCTTGGCGTTTATAAGCTCCGGAGGAGGCGGGTGGGAGGCCGGCCTGCCCCGTAGCCCTCAGAGCCTCGCCCACCCCCAGATAAGTAGCACCTAATTGCCTTCGATTCAGAGGCACAAAGGAGGCCATTCACACCTCCCCCGGCTCCGAGATGTCTGCGGCGGGGCGGGGCGGAGCCCCCGCGGAGGCTGGTCACGTCCTTTCATCCCCCACCCCACCCCCACCGGGTGGCCTCTCCCAGCTGAGCACCCAAGCTGGAGGCTTGTCCTTCGGGGTGAGGAGCCACCTCCTCTCCAGCCCGCGGGGTCTGCGGTGCCAAAGGCGGCAGGTGTGCCCACCTGAGGGAGGGCATGCTTGAGGGAGGGGGAGCAGCAGTACTGGGGGGGGCTCCCAGAGCAGGTGCCACTGCCTCAGGCTGTCCTGTCCGGCGGGGGGAGGGACGTAGGGCAGGGTGGGTCTTGCTGCCCAGGGAGCACCCGCCGGCCCTTCCCTCTCAGACGGTACTCGGTACTCGGTGCCCCCCACCCCACCTCCACTCTGGAGCCTCAGAGCCGCCGGCAGTGGCTGGGGGGAGGGGTGTCTGCCCTCAGGAGTGCGGCCCGCCCTGCTGCTCCCGGACGACCCAGCGGGAGGGATGGAGCAGCCCGGTGCTGCCGAGAAGGGCCGCCCCACTGCCCAGCGGGGCCCAGAGCCGCCAGGGACGCGGCAGCCCGGGTTCAAGGCCTGTCCTCTCTCCGGGGACCCAGCCCCCCCCACCCCCGCTGCTGGCCACCACCTCTTTCTGCAGGATGGGACCGAGGGCCAGCGCCTTCTGTGTCCACGGTGACCCGGGGCAGCCCGGAGCCCCCACCCCCACGCCCGCCCCCTGGGTGTGGTGGCCCCAGCCCACCGGCCGACTCCTGGGGGCGCCGGCGCCAGCCTGGGCAGGGCCCCGGGATCAAAGGCCCCTACGGCCGGGCCCGGATTAACACCCCCGGCCGCCCTCGGCGGGCACAGCGGGAACGGCGGCGCTGACCCCGTCGGGAAGGGTCAGGGGGCCCGACGCCTCCGCGCCAGCGCAGTGATCCACCGGTGGCCGCGTCCCGGGCGGCGGTGCTGGCCTGGACGGAGAGGCCCCTGTTCTCAGATGCGGTCCTGCCCCTGGGGACCGAGGCCCAGCTGGTGGGGGCTGCACGGCTCTCGGACCGGGGATGGGGTCGGCACTGCAGACCCCCCACCCTGCGCGCGGCTCCAGGGGCGCCCTCCTGGTGGACACGACAGGTGCCGGGACTCTGCGTCCTGGTCCCACCTGCACCAACCTGTGAGGTGCAGGAAGCAGGGCGCACCTGGTCCTCCCCAGGGGTCCTGCGGCCCACACCCTCCCGGCCCGACCACGCGCCTCCGCACCGACCTCGTGCCTCCGCACCGCCCGGGCTGCTGGCCCTCGTCCCCCAGGGGTGGGGCTGGGCTTTGTGTCCCCTGGGGTGGGCCCTGCGTGGCTGCCGCCTTCCTCCGAGGCTCAGGACCCGACGCAGGGTGGCCTCAGCCCTGACCGCTGACCTGCCCCCGAATCCCACACCTGCTTGCAGCGGGGAGGGGCTCCCCAAGCGCACGCCCTGGGTCACTTGGAGGTCCTGGCCGCCCCGCCCCCCCCCCCCCCCCCCCCCCCGTGTTCCCTGGACGGGACCTTCCCGGGCCTCAGCCCGCCCCCTGGGCTCCATCCCGCCACCCTGGGCCAACCCAGATACATGGCCCAGGGAGGCCCGCCCCGCGCCAGGCCCCTCCTCCACGCCCACCCCAGGAAGGGACTGGGCCGCAGCCCTTCCGGCTCCCCCGTGGCTGCTCCCGCTGGAGAGAACCTGGTGTGAGTGTGCAGCTGGGGGGCTGGTTTCCAGGCTGCGGGTGATGGGGGCACCCAGCCTGCCCGCGCACTCCGTGGAGCAGGGGGTCCAGCCCAGGGCCCAGGGACACGGGGAGGGAGGCGCTAATCAGCAGGGAGTGCGGCCACTGCCCATCTTTCCGAGATCCCACATTTTGGGGAGGCGGGCAGGGTCCTACAAGGGCCGTATCAGAGCCAAGGGCACGGGGCGCCCACTTGCTGTCCTACGTGTGACATATGTGTGACTCGCTCTATGGGCAGAAAAGCCCCAGGGCCTGCATGTCGGGTGCGTCCATGCGGGAGGCCGGGAAGAGGACCAGGACGCAGCTGGGGACTCCGCGGGGCTTGCATGTGGCCCAGTCATGGGCCAGGAGGACATGAGCCTCACTGCGACAGAGCCACTGTTACACTGAAAGGAAAAGAAAAAAAAAAAAAAAGCTAGGGTTTCTCTAGATCTAGATCACAAATAATGGTTCTGGGAGACAGCAGCATGTGCATGTGCCCTGGGGGACGTCACGGGGACAAAGTGAGGGGCCGGCCCGCAGACGTCTGGAACACCCCCGTGGACCTGGTGTGGGATTCCAGATGCGCTCGAGTGACTTGTGACATCAGCATCCGGGGAGCTGGGAGGCTCACAGATGCTTCTTTCTCACGGGTCCAGAGGCGGGAGGGCCCAGATCAGGGGACCGGGGTGCAGGGGTTCCCGGGAGAGCCACCTCCCGGCCAGCGGACCGTCTCCCCTTAGCACCAATCCCGGTGGCTGGTGGCGAAGCTCAGGGCCTAAGCTCACCCCGGAGGCCCCACGTCCTAACACCATCACACTGGGGGGTAGTGGGGGGGGAAGGGTTTCAACACAGGAATTTGGGGACGCAAACATCCGGGGCATAATCCAGAGCAGGGTGGTTTCTGACCGGGCGCCCTCGCCGCAGGGCTGGTGAGGGAGGCCGAGGAGGACCCAGGGACGCAAAGTGGGCGCGTCGGTGGTGCAAACATGAGGAAGGAGTCGCAGACCCTGTGCAACCGGGAAGGAGGGCTCGGGCCTCGGCCCAACTGCGGGATGGGGGGGGGGGGACACGCCTGTTTTACCTCCCTAGAGTCATACGGAGGACGAACGTCCACCCAGATCTTGGGGATGTGTTCTTTGCAAAAATGGCAGGTCAGGGACACGGAGCCCTGCTGCTGTGACTGCGGAGGTCGGAGCCTGCCCCAGCGAGTCCCAGAGCAGCGGGGGTTTGAGAAGGTTCCCGCCACGGAAGCGCTTGTCACTGGAGCGTTACATGGGAGACTCTGCCCGCGTCTCTGCCTCTCTCTCTCTCTCTGTCTCTCATGAATAAATAAATCTTTTTTAAAAAAAAGCTAAGAAAATACCACGTGCTGGGGAGGACTCCGACACTGGAGGCGCTGCTGCTGGGAGCGTGAAATGGTGCAGCCCCGCGGACAACAGCATCAAGCTTCCTCAAAATATTAAAAACGGAATTACCAGCGGTCTCCCCTCCGAGTGCCCCCCAGGACCGGGGGCAGGGCTCCATCACACGCTGACAGGCGCCCGGGGGGGGGGACCCGAGTGTCCCGCACAGACGGACCCACGGAAGGAGGAGCACGGCAGCTCCGGCCACACGCCAAGCGTCTCAGCCGCAAGAGGAGGTCCGGACACGACCCGAGGGCACGAGGCCGAGGGAGAAGCCAGACGCGGAAGGACGCTCTGCGTGATGCCACGTGCATGAGGTCCCCGTGGGGGCACCTTCCCAGAGACGGGGGCGCAGGGGGCATGGAGGGCGGGGACAGAGCCTCAGCCTGGGGGTGGGGGCTGCACCGCAGGGAACGTGCTGGGCGATGCTGGACTGGATGCTTGATGGCTGAGATGGCAAGTTTTTTTTTTTTTTTTTTTTAAGATTTTATTTGTTTATTCATGAGAAACACACAGAGAGACAGAGACACAGGCCGAGGGAGAAGCAGGCTCCACGCAGGGAGCCCGACGCGGGACTCGATCCTGGGATCCTGCGATCCTGCCCTGGACTGAAGGTGGATGCTCAACCACTGAGCCCCCGAGGCGTCCCCCCAATTTTTTAATGTATATTTTAAAGCAAAAAAAATTAAAAGGTATGAATTTATTGTCCAAGGGCCCTTAGTGAGATGAGAGGGGCCCTACTCTGAGGAGTGGTCCTAGGAGACCCTGCTGGGGATCCCCCCCCGCCCCCGCGCTCGCAGTCAGGCCCAGGCAAAGATGTGCTCGTGCGGGGACGCCCTTCCCGCTGCAGCGTGTGCATGCCCCCCACCAGAGCCGACCCGGGACACCTGCACGCGACAGGCCCGCAAAGCAGGGTGAGGATGCGCTCACCCCGCTGACCCGCAAGGGAGCTGCGGGCCGACGGGAGGGCCGCAAGCAGGGGCTTGGAGTCTTAAAAGAGCGGAGCATCCGGCCGAGCCGCTGGGCTGAACCAGGGCGATGGGAACAGCCAAGACCCCTCCCCTCCCGGGCCTGAAGCACTGAGGATACCAGGCGAGGAACCTTGGGGTTCCCTCCTCCGCAGAAGGGGCTGGCGAGGGGGTTTGGGGCCCCCTATTGTCCCTACCGCTGGGGGGCTGGCAGATTTGCCCACCCTGGCTGTGACCTAGGAGGGTCTGGATGGCGAAGGGCCAGGATCGTGAAGCAGAGGAGCGTGTCTTGCACCAGGGGACTTCGTCACCTCTATGGTCGTGGTCTCACAGGCCCCCAGGACCTGCCATCGACACCGTGGAGAGGTGGAATCAGCTTTTGGGCTCAGAGAGACCACTCCTGCTCCCACCGGGGGCGTCTTCTGCTGACTCCTGAAAAGGACTTGGGGGAGGGGCTTGTAACCCACCCTAGGCCCACACCCACCCCAGAGCCCCAGGGACTGCAGGAACCTCGGAACACAGGCCTGCAGAACGCCCACCCCGTCACTGAGCTTTGTGGCCCGGGGCACCTGAGCGTCTGAACGGGCCCCTACTTGGGAATCTATTGTTATGTTGGGCAGGAGCCCCCGGCTACTTCCTTATCTCCCCAGGGCGGGAGCCGCTCTGGGACGGCCCTTCCGGATCCACCTGTGGAGGGTGGGGTCACAATTACTATTTGGAAAATGCTCCCAGGGCGGTTCTGGCCAAGTCTTCCCAGAACTGCAGGGGCCTGGTCCTCGACCTAAGTCCAAAGTCTCAGAGCCCCTGGCAGGGCCGCCTGGGCCCACCCAGAGCAACTACTTCCCCGGGGACTAAAGAAGCCCCTTCCCGGAGGTGCCTTAGCTCTCCTACCGCTCCTTAGGCTTGCCTGGGGCAGCACTGGGAGGGGACCCGCCCACAGGGTCGGGCTGGGAGGTCACTGTCACTCCCACCCCCTCCCAGCGTCCTGCTCAGCAGGGCTCCCGGGAAGGCAGAGGCTGGTCTGAGCTGCTGTGCAACGCCCTGGAACCCAGGGTGTGGGAGACCTGGGGTTCCAAGGACCCCAACCTACCTGCCAGCAGCCCCGCACACCCCTGGGTCCTCCCTGGGTCTGGCTCCGCAGGCCCCACCAGCACATTCGCAGAACGAGGTCGGGAATAAACAATCTCTTTATTGAACTACCTAGACTGAGAGTAGGGGAGGGCGGCGGGACCGGGTCGCAGGAGACGCGCCCCTACCGGGGACCGGCAGGGCAGGCGGGCCTCACTCCCGCAGGTCGGCCAGGATGCCTCGCTCCGAGGCCGCGGCGCTGCCCAAGATGAAGCCCACGGCCAGGGACACCGTCTGGTCGAAGGAGCCGCGCAGCTGCTCCACGTGCTGGTTCAGGGTCAGCAGCTGGTCGCGCAGGGGGCCCAGGATGGCCACGATGTCGCCCAGGTGCCCCAGGGTCTGCAGCAGGGCGGTGTTCAGCGACGGGGACGCGGCCTGCGGGGGCACGTGGTGCTCGGGGCGCCGGGGCGGAGACTCGGGGTCCTCCCGGTCCAGGGACGGCGGCGGCGGCGAGCCCGGGGCGCGGAACGCTGCGTTGTCCTCGTGGCGGCCGGGCGCGGAGGCGGCGGCGAGCAGCGGCGGGGAGCCCGGGGCGCGGGGCGCGTCTGCAGACTTGGGCGGGGTCGGGCTGAACCTGAGCCTCCAGGCGGACTCTGCGTCGGGGTCGCGGGCGTCGGGGTCGCGGGCGGAGGGCGGCGGCAGGACGTCTGCAAGGCGGCGGGGGCGGCGGGCCGGGCTCAGAAGGGCCCTGCCCCCCGCCTCTACCCCCCATCCTGTCCCCTCCCGACTCCTGCGCCCCAGGACCACCCCCGCTTCAGACCCGGGCCCCTGACCCCCACCCCTACCGCCCCCCCCCGTCCCCTCCGGCCCCTGCGCCCCAGCTCCCCGGGCCCTGACCCCACCCTACGCCCTCCGTCCCCTCCGGCCCCTGCGCCCCAGCTCCCCGGGCCCTGACCCCCACCCGTCCCCTCGGCCCCTGCGCCCCAGCTCCCCGGGCCCCTGACCCCCACCCGTCCCCTCGGCCCCTGCGCCCCAGCTCCCGGGCCCTGACCCCCACCCCTACCGCCCCCCCCCGTCTCCTCCCGGCCCCTGCGCCCCAGCTCCCGGGCCCCTGACCCCCACCCGTCCCTCGGCCCCTGCGCCCCAGCCCGGGCCCTGACCCCACCGCCCTCGGCCCTGCGCTCCAGCTCCCGGGCCCTGACCCCCACCCCTACCGCCCCCCCCCCGTCCCCTCCCGGCCCCTGCGCCCCAGCTCCCCGGGCCCTGACCCCCACCCCTACCGCCCCCCCCGTCCCCTCCCGGCCCCTGCGCCCCAGCTCCCGGGCCCTGACCCCCACCCCTACCGCCCTCCCGTCCCCTCCCGGCCCCTGCGCCCCAGCTCCCCGGGCCCCTGACCCCCACCCGTCCCCTCGGCCCCTGCGCCCCAGCTCCCCGGGCCCTGACCCCCACCCCTACCGCCCCCCCCCCCGTCTCCTCCCGGCCCCTGCGCCCCAGCTCCCCGGGCCCCTGACCCCACCCGTCCCCTCGGCCCCTGCGCCCCAGCTCCCGGGCCCTGACCCCACGCCTGCCCTCGCAGCCCCGGCCCTGACCCCCACCCTACCGCCCCCCCCCCCCCGTCCCCTCCCGGCCCCTGCGCCCCAGCTCCCCGGGCCCTGACCCCCACCCCTACCGCCCCCCCCCCCCCGTCCCCTCCCGGCCCCTGCGCCCCAGCTCCCCGGGCCCTGACCCCCACCCCTACCGCCCCCCCCTCCCCTCCCGGCCCCTGCGCCCCAGCTCCCCGGGCCCTGACCCCCACCCCTACCGCCCCCCCGTCCCCTCCGGCCCCTGCGCCCCAGCTCCCCGGGCCCTGACCCCACCGTCCCTCAGCCCCTCCCAGCTCCCGGCCTGACCCCACCCTACCGCCCCACCGTCCCCTCGGCCCTGCGCCCCAGCTCCCCGGGCCCTGACCCCACCCTACGCCCCCCGTCCCCTCCGGCCCCTGCGCCCCAGCTCCCCGGGCCCTGACCCCCACCCCTACCGCCCCCCCCCGTCCCCTCCCGGCCCCTGCGCCCCAGCTCCCCGGGCCCCTGACCCCCACCCGTCCCCTCGGCCCCTGCGCCCCAGCTCCCCGGGCCCTGACCCCCACCCCTACCGCCCCCCCCCGTCCCCTCCCGGGCCCCGCCCCCCTTACCTGGCTCGGGGGCCGGCCGACGTCCGCGCGGGGGGCGCCCGGGCCCCGGGGAGCGGCGGCGGCCGCGGGGGTGCCCGTTCTCGCCCAGCAGCCCCATGAGCTCGCGGATCTGCGCGTCGAAGGGCCCGGGCGGCTGGCCGTGCGCGTCGCGGAGCTTGTCCTTGAGGAACTTGTAGCGGCGGCGGCACTGCGCGGGGGTGCGGCGCACCTGCTGGCGGGCCAGCGCGGCCGACACGCGGCGGTAGGTGGGCAGCGCCCGGCGGCGGTCGAGCAGCAGCGCGCGCCACACGGACGGCTGCAGGAGCGTGCCCAGCAGCAGCTCCGTCTCGCGGGCGCTCCAGGGCGTGCGCTGCGCCGAGCCCGGGGACACGGGCGAGCCGCGGAGGCCGGGGGACGCGGGGGCGCGGGGGCGCGGGGGCGCGGGGGCGCGGGGGCCGCCAGCGCGCCGGGCGAGGCGGGCCGTCGGGGCGGGGTCCGCGGCTCGGGGTCCGGGCTGTCCGGCGGGCCCGGCGCGGGGAGGGCGGGCGGGGGCGGCCGGCGCGGCCGGAGCAGCATCCCGGGGCCGGGCCGGGGCCGGGGCCGGCGTCGGGGCCGGCGTCGGGGGCCCGAGCGAGGCCGCGCACACGCGCTCGGACGGTGCGAGCGAGCGGGAGACGGAGCGGGAGCCGCAGCTGGAGCCGCAGGTCTACGCCGCCCGCCCCCGCGCGCCCCCGCGCGCCCCGCCCCGCCCCGCCCCCCGCCGACTCGCGCCGGGGCCGCGCGGCCCCGACCTGGAACCACCTGCGGGGCGCGGCGGTCGCGCTTCTCAGGCTCTCGCGCGCAGGGGCCCCGGGGCGCAGCGGCGACTCGCTTTTACGCATGTGCGGGCCCCGCCACCGCCCCGCACCCCGAGCCCTGGAACGTTCCACCCCAGGAGGCGCCCCCGCCCCGCCCCGCCCCGCCCCGCGGCCTTAGCTGCGACCTCCCGCGGCCGGAGGCGGCGTGTGCGGCCCCGCCCCCACCTGCGGGGGTGCGAGCGCGGTGCGCGTGCGCGGGGTGGGGCCGCCTGCGCCCCTGCGGCCCGCGAGGGCAGGGCCTGCCCGGGGCCCGCGGGCGGGGCTCACTCTCCGCAGAAAACCGGGTTATTAGAGAGTCTCCGCAGCCCACGTCAGGCCTAAGAATGTCGAGCATCCCTGGGGGCGATGCGGAATAAGCCAACGGTGCTGCCACCAAGCACCAGTGACTCGTTGCAGTCGACGTTATTCTAGAGGTTTAGCCAGAGCAATAAGACAAGAAAAAGGAAAGAGGCTCATGAAGGCCGGAAAGAAACAAGTAAAGCCACGGACATTTGCAGCTGACGCGATTACAAATAGGGAGCGTACAAAATAATCTGCGAGGACGTTATTGGAATTGAACGGATTTAGCAAGGTCGTCGCGTACAACGAGAAACAACAGAAATCCATCCTGTTTCTGTGCACCAGCTCTGGTAGTTTTAACGGTTTTTTATTTGGGATAGTTTTAGGCTTACAGCCAGGTGGCAGGGAAGACACTGGCGTCCCCATGCTTCCCCTCAGGTGAGCGGCCGGCAACTCTGTCCCAGGTGAGAAATTCTCGGTGGCCCAACGCCATGGGCTGAGCCGCAGTCTGGGTCTTACCAGGTTTCCCGCAGATGCGTCTTTGCCGTCCCCAGACCCGGTCCCGCATCCTGCCCTGCCTCCCCTACTCCTCGGGACCCTGGCAGCTTCTTACTCTTGTTTTCCACGTTCCTGACGCGTGGAGGAGCCTCTCGGGCGTTCTGTGGGTGCCCCTGTACTTGGGTCTGCCGGGCGCCTTCTCATGATTAGCCTGGGGTTAAGGGTTTTCAGAGGAAGACAGAGAAGTGAATGTGGCGCCTGCCAGGTCTCTGTGTCCCCTCCCTGCCCTGCGGGGGGCCGGGCATCCATGCACCCCACCCTCGTGGGTAAACCAGGCCACGCCCGGGGCACCGACACGTGCTGCTTGGGGTTCTTCCGGAATTGTTCCTGTTCGGTGACTCAGGGGTGCTCTCTGGTTGCAGGGTGCAGGCCCACGCATGATGTGTAGAGGTCGAGGATACCAGTCTTCCCCTTTCCCTCTCCTCCTGTGTCCTTCTGACGTGCTCTACCCCCCGCCCCCCACACTTCCTGGTTTTGCGGTGTGACCAGAAACTTCTGCTCATCTTGTACTTGACCAATTCCAGCCCTAGAATCAGCCATTCAGTCATTTCTCCAAAAATCTGTGCTTCCTTTTTTTCCAGAGGATGGTATCTGGGTATAGGGTGTACTGATGCTCCTGGGGTGTCACTGCTTCCAGGCCACAGTTTGTCGTGAGGAGTAGTTTGTCCCTCAGGGTATGTTTGGTGGCGTCTGGAGATGCTGGCTGTCACACGTGGGGGTGCTGCTGGCACCCGGGGGGTGCAGACCAGAGGTGCTGGGAACCCCCCGCCCCACGGTGCCCGGCACGGCCCACGGCAGAGATGGTCCACTCAGAACACCAGGGGGGCTGTGACAGGCCTGCGCTGGCACGGGGGGGGGGGAGGCGGTGGGGACGCCGACCCACAGGTCCACACACACTGTGCCTCTCCACTGGCTTCTCGGCCACATCTTTCTTTGACAGCAGGAGGCCTGGCTCCCTTATCTGTGATTTCCTTCTCCATCCGTGAGCCTTCGTGTGTAAGGGAAGCGGCTGTAGGATGGCGCATGGGGACGCTGGTGAGACTGGACTGCAGGCCTTACGTGGTCTTTGGCCCCGTCCTTTCCCTTCTAAGCACCGCTTCCCACGGTGCCTTAGGTCAGCCCCCAAAGGGGTGGGAGGTGGGTGAGGAGACGGGCAGGCCCACGCGCGGCGACCCCTGGGAAGCCCCGGTGCTCATAGAACAAGCCCCGAACGGCAAGGGCGGCCAGAGGACAGCCCCAGAGTGCCCCTGCCTGCAGGGCAGTCCAGGAAGGCCGGCCTGGACCCATCCACCGGGAGCCGGGAGCCCATCCACCCCACGGCACACAGGACACCGAGCTGTTCGGTGCAGCGTAACCCAGCGCCCTGAGTAGTGGCTGGAGCTGGCGATTCTGGGGTTGGAGCCGGGCCTTCCCTCCTGACGGGGCGCCGTGCCCTGGGGCCTGGCTGCGTGGGGCTCTGCAGGCCTTCAGTGGGCCTGTGCCGGTGTCCCCGCGGCTCCTGGGCTGTCCGGCCGGCGCCGCTCCCTGCAGGTCCGCTCGGCCCACTCGGGACCACCAGACGCTTGCTCCAGCCTGGGTGGTCTGGCTGGTGTGGGAGGGGACTGCCCTGGTGGGGGTACCTGGAAGCCTGGCTGAGGGGGCACTCAGCGGTCACCTAGAGGACAACCTGGTGATTTGCTTGGGCCCGGTGCAGAGGAGCTCCTCAGGGTCCTCATGGCCTTGCTCGAGTCTCCGGGAGCAAGAGATACCGGGCTGCAGGGATTTTAAGGTGGGTGAGGACCGGACCCACCCCTCCACCCAGGGCTGGGACGCGGGATCCACCTAGTGGTGGCAGCTGCTGCCCACGGTGCCCTTGTTCTTTGGGGCCCCCTGCCACGTGGAGGGCTTCCCCGGGGGCTCCTGCCGAAGGTGCCACATCACGTCCCCCAATCCTCTGTGCCCACGGCCTCCCCCAACCCTAAGCTCTTCCCCCAGGACCCTTCCCAGTGGCCGGAAGCCGGCCCTGCCCCCGATGGAGGATGGAGGAGGAGGAGGAAGAGGAAGAGGAGCCGTCATCCCGCCCCTAGGCTCCGGTGGGCTGAGCTCGCTGCCGCCCGCGGACCGTGGTGGAGTCACCTTGGGGCCTTAGGACGGCAGTCTCGGGGGCTCCGCGATTTCAGGCAGTTTGCCCTGGAGTGACGGGGTTTGCTTCTGGGGGCCCTGAACTGAATGGATCGGCAGACCTGGCCCGTCTCTGTGCCTCCCAAGGACACGGCTGTGGCCGGTATTCCGCATCCCCTGGTGCCGTCAGGAGCACCCCTGAGGAGCCCACCCTGACCCCCCAGGGCAAGTGTCACTTGGGAGACAGACAAAAAAAGGCGTCTGAAGCCGTGTCCGTAGAAATGGTTTTATTTAGAAATCTGTGCCAGTGACATTCGGGTGACATGCAGACAGTCGTGCTTAAGCCGAAAGCCCGGTCGCTTCCCGCGAAGAAATCGTTACGACTGGAATGTGTCTCGGCGCCAGGCGCTAACTCAGGCTCGGGGACTCCGCCGCTGCAACCTCGGAATCTGAACGTCAGCGTTGATTAGTGGAACGGGGTCCTCGTGGAAGGCCAGAAGCCCCGCCTCCGCGTGGCGGGGTACCGAGTCCTCCGCGTCCTGGAAGTAAGTCTCCGATGAATTTATGTGGGAAACACATGTTGACGTTACAAACTCAGCATTTTATTGCAAATAGCCACTTTCCCAGAATCCCACTGGCTGGTTGTCGTAAGAATCCGTGATTCTGAGGTGAGGACAGCCCTGGGTCTCCCGGCGATTTGCCACCGAAGGACGTTGGCACCTGCGATGGTGTCGGGGCTCGGACCACACTTCCGTGCCTGCACGCCTGGCCCAGGGGGCCTTCTCGCTGCTGAGCGGCCCCCAGCACCGGCCGGAAACGGAGCCCCGGGAAGAGCCTGGCACCATCCGGGCAGCAACCGTCCTCTGTCCTCGGCTCTGACAAAGCTCTAGTGAAGGCAAGCGGCAGGAGCCTGGGCACAGGCGTGTGCAGCGCATGCACGGCTGCGGAAGGCAGGTGGGCACGGGCCCCAGGCCACCGGAGGGGCTGCCCTGGAGCTGCTGTCCGTGTGCTTTGCGAGGAAGCAGAGCCTGGCGGGCCTCCCCGGGAGCTGTCGTAGGTGGTGGGGTTGGCAAGGGTGGAGGGCGCGAGGGGCCGCGGGCACTTGGCCGCCAGCGTGGAGCTGTGAGGTGCTCACCAGCAGCAGGAGGCTGGGCTGGGACCGAGACCCCATTGGGCCTGTTGGGGCAGCGGCTGCAAAACTCAGGCACCCCTGCTTAGGCTGGAACAGGGGTGAGCTGAGCTGCACCCCTAGGAGGAGGTCTGCAAGGAGGGTCGGGGGAAGCGGGGCATGTGGGGGTGAAGTGTGGGGTGTGAGGGGAGGTCTGGAAGAGTGTGGGAGGAGATCTGGGGGGCCTGAGTGGAAGGGAGGGGGAGGCCTGGGGGGGAGGCCAGATGGATGGGAGGGGGCGGTTGGGGTCTGGGGGGAGGTCTGGAGGGTGGGGGGTAGGAGGTGAGGGGTGGGGGTTGAAGGGGGAGAGGGGTGGGGGTGAGGTCTGGGGGGTGGGAGGAAGTCTGAGGGGCCTGAGTGGAAGGGAAGGGGAGGCCTGGCGGGGAGGCCAGATGGATGGAAGGGGGTGGTTGGGGTCTGGGGGAGGTCTGGAGGGTGGGGAGTAAGGGGTGAGGTGAGGGGTAGGAGGGGAGAGTGTGTGGAGAGGTCTGGAGGGCGGGGGTGAGGGAGGGGGCCGGGGGAGACTTGGGTGGAAGCGGGGGACGGGTCTGGGTGGAAGGGAGCGGGAGGCCTGGGCAGGGGAGTCTGGACCCGGTTAGGGGCTTGGGCCACTGGGAAGCCTCGGGCCCGTGGACGGCTCGGAAACCCCTGGAACCTGGGTTGGCATGGGGGTCAGAGGTCATCTTGGTCCTTGGTTGCTGGGCAGACGGAAGCCAGACTCCTGGAAACAGTGCTCTGAGTCGGGGGGTGGGTGGGGTCTGGGGGATCCCTGGAGCTGGGTGGGAGCGGTTCATCTCTAGAAGTGTGGGTGCGTATACGGCTCCTGGGGGGTTCACTTACTCTATTATTGTTTTAATTTGTAAATACAGTTTTACCCGAGCAGGAAGAGCCCGCCTCCGCGGGAGCCCGTCCCCTCCGGGCCCTGGACCTCCACCTCCCGGGGCCCCGGGGCGCGCCCCGCCGCCCAGCCTGAGCCCCGTGTGAAGCAGCAGGTGCAGCGCCGCTCGCCTGGCCGGGCCGCGGGGCTCCTCTCCCGGCCCCCCGCCCCCCGCGCTGCAGTTCTCGCCTCGGGGGCCCCCTCCCCCCGCTACTGAAACGTGGCCTTCATTCTGCGCAGCTTGTCCTGGATCTTCCGCGAGTGCTTCTCGCTGCTCATGTGGTGGAGGGCGGCCCTGCTGTCGGCCGCTAACACGGAGACGTCGGCCCCGCTGAAGCGGGCGATCCTCTGCTTGAGGTAGGACTGCAGCTTGGGGTCGGGGGCGAACGTGTAGGGGTTCTCCTGGAACGCGTGCACCTGGCTCACCACCTTGGCGATGTTCCTGCGTCGGGGACAAGACGTGCGCGTCGGTGTGCACGAGCTGGGCCTGTGAACTCCCCGCGTGTCCTGGGAGGCCGCGAACCGGACCGCGTCCAGCGGCAGCTCGGGGCGCCCTCCGCGCTCACGCTCGGGGCCGGAGCCCACGCCAGCCTCGGCCCGCCTGCCCTGCCGTCCGTCCCTGGTCCGTCGGTCCATCCAGCCACTTCCAGCGCATGAACACTGCAAGTCTGTGTTGCGCCTGGTCGGTGCTCAGGGGTCCAGCAAGGACACCCCCAGGGCCAGCCCCTGAGGGTCCCCAGAGGAGGTCCCTGGGGCAGACGCACGCGGGGTCACCCCAGGGCTGTGCTCAGGGACGTGATGTGGCTCAGGAGCCGCCACCACGGGATCATCTACGCCCCGGGAACTGGCCACCGCCGGGTCCCAGGGCTCCCTTCCCCGGAGCGCTGTGACCCGCACGCCCCGGGCGTCGTCCGGGACACGGGGAGCAGGAAGCAGAAGTCGGGACTAATGCCCGGGGAGGCTGCGGGCCTTACAGAGGTTCCCACCCCGGTGGCGGATGAGGGAAGGCGGGGCCAGAACGAAGCGTGCACTTTTGGTTGTTAAAACACAAACGTGCGGGGCGCCCGGGGGGCTCAGTCTGACTCCGGTCGCGGTCCCCGGATCCTGAGATCGAGCCCCGCGTGGGGCTCCATGCGGGGCGTGGAGCCTGCTCGGGGGTGTCCCTGTCCCTCTGCCCCACCCCACCGCCCATCTGTCTCTCCCTCTAAAATCTAAAGAACATAAGTTGAAGACAAACACGCGTGCACATCGGACGTAAAGCAAGGCAAGGGGCGTCGTCGTCAGAGCCCGCCCCGCCGCCTCTGGACTGTGGCCTTCCCTCCAGCCGCTGCGTTGTGTCGCCGGCGCGGACCGCGCGCTGTGCTGCGTGTCAGACAACCGTCAAGCTGGTGACCGGGGAGGGGGGCGCCGCGGGGCTCTGGGCCCCCTGGGCCGTGCCTGCCGAGGCCTGCCCTGCCCCGACCTGCTCGCCCACGTGGGTGCTGCGGGGGCAGCAAGGGGGGCAAGGGCACCCTGACGGGGAGGGCGTCTGGAGGCGGGGCTCCTCGCCTGGGGCGCCACGGGGTCACCGCCAGCAGCCCCTCCCAGGCGGGTGGCCCCGGGTGCCGGGCAGGGGCCCCGCGGCAGCATGGGGGGGGGCCGAGGACTGGCCGCAGTGCAGCAGCCCCAGGGCGCGGCCCCCTCACCTGAGCTTGCTCCACCTGTGGGCGCCGTTGGTCATGGTGAAGCCCCCGGTCTCCAGCTGCTGGACGTGCATGGCCAGGAGGCGGGCCGAGGGCAGCGTGGGCTGGGCGCGGAAGCGGCGGCCTTCCATCAGACACAGGCTGTCGCTCTTCAGGAAGACCTGGGGCCGGCCAGGGCGCGGGCGGGCACGGGCGAGGGGGTGAGGGGGAGCCGCATGCAGCCCCCTGGGCGCGGCCGCTCGGCCCTGACCCGCTGTCGCTGGGTGACGGAGGAGCGCGGGCGGCCCGGGAGCGCCAGGGAGGCCGAGCGCCAGGGCTCGCGCGCCAGCCGTCGGGGCCGGGGTCGCTGCCGCTGTTGGGGAGCGCAGCCTTCCAGGGGCGGCTCTGCGGGTCCCGCCCTATGGGCACCCGCCCCCCCCACCCCGCCCGGTGAGGCCCCGGGGGGACACGGCCGGTAGTGGGGCTGGCTGGGCTGCTCGCGGCTGCGGGGCGGGGCCGCGGGGCGCCAGTACCTCCACGGCTTTCAGCTCCTCCATGACCTCCGCTGTCTTCGCGGGTAGAACCCTCCAGGCCTGGAAGAAACGCACGGTGAGGTGCGGCCGGGCCGGTGTCCCTGCGCCCCCGCGGCCGGGCCGCCACTCACGGGGGACTGCCTGACGGCGAGGTGCTCCAGGCCCCCCAGGATCTGCATGGCCGTCGCGAAGTTCCTTTGCTCGTAGCAGGACTTGGCGATCAGCAGGAACTTGGAGAGCAGAGTCACCTGCAGCTGGGGGCGGGCAGGGACACGGTCAGGGCCACCCGCGCCAGGTGTGGGGAGCGCGGGCCGCGCGGCGCAGGGGGGGGGCTGCTGGGAAGGGGCGGCCCGTGGGGCTGAGGCCGCCGCTGCGTCGAGGGGTCGAGGGGTCGCTGCCCGCGGAGCGGCGGTGTCCACCCGGGAAGGGGCCGCGTCACACGGGGCCGCCCCAGCGCGCGGCCCTCAGTCCTCCGCCTGCCGGTGCCGCCTCACGGGGACGGGCTCCAGGGGCGCGGGGCGAGCAGGACGGGGCACAGCTGGGCGCCACGGTCCCCGCCCTGGGAGCCGGCTCAGGCACGGGGCGCCGGGAGCCCCTCGGGGGTGCCCTCTGACTGAGCCCAGTGTGAGTGTGAGTGCGCGAGCAGGTGTGAGCACGGCAGAGAGAGGGCGTGTGCGTCGGGGAATCCGTGAGAGGAACCACGTGGGTAGCAGGATTCGGGAGAGGCTCCGGGGGTCGGGCACTATGTGTGCGAAGGCAGCTGTGTGTGAGGGGGCGTGAGGCAGAGTGTGAGGGGCGTGAGGGAGTGTGGGGGCATGTGTGAGGTGTGTGTGAGGGAGTGTGAGTGTGTGAAGAGTGTGAGGAGGCATGTGAGGTGGTGTGAGGGGGCGTGTGAGGGGGCATGTGAGGTGGTGGGGGGCGTGTGAGGGGCATGTGAGGTGGTGTGAGGGGGCATGTGTGAGCGGGAGTGAGGGAGTCTGTGAGGGAGTGTGAGGGAGTGTGAGGGACTGAGTGTTAGGGGGCATGTGTGTGAGGGGGTGTGAGGAGGTGTGAGGCAGAGTGTGTGAGGGGGCGTGAGGGAGTGTGTGGGGGCATGTGTGGTGGTGTGAGGGGGCATGTGAGGGGCGTGAGGGAGTGTGAGGGACTGAGTGTGAGGAGGTAGGTGTGTGTGAAGGGGAGTGTGTGTTAGGGGGCATGTGTGTGAGGGGGTGTGAGGGGGCGTGTGAGGATGCATGAGGGAGTGTGTGAGGGGGAGTGTGTCGGACTATGAAGGGGTGTGAGGGAACGTAAGGGAGTATGTGTGATGGTGTGTCGGAGTGTGAGAGTGTGTGAAGGGGGTGTGAGGTGTGTGTGAGGAGGCATGAGGGAGTGTGTGTGTGAGGGAGTGTAAGGGGGTGAGTGTGAGGGGGAGTGTGTGAGGAGCAGTGACGGAACGTGAAGGATAGTGAGGGGCCATGAGGGGGTGTGAGGGTGTGTGTGTGTGGAGGCGTGACGGAGTGTGAGGGGCGTGAGGGGCGTGAGGGAGTGTGAGGAGGTAGGTGTGAGGGGCGTGTGTGAAGGCGTGTATTTGCGCGTACTGGCGTGTATGCACACGCGTGGGGCTCTGCGTGCACACGGATACGTGTGCAAGTTCCACGGAGGAGGGGCCTGTCACGGCGTGCAGAGCCAGTGCGCACTTGCAGGCGGCGCCGCGGGGAGCCGACCGTGTGGCCGACGTCACCGTCCGCGGAAGCTGTGACGCTACTTGTACCCGTTGCCTGGGGTTGAGTGTGGCTTCCCTGCGCGTGGGGAACGCCGGAGGGTCCCCGGGAGGCAGCCGGCGGCCGCGCTCGGCCCGAAGGCCCCGTGGGACGGAGCCGAGGCGCCCACCTTGGAGGTGTGGCTGGTCACGATCTCGGCGGCCACCCAGGTGCTGACGTCGTCCGCGCTCCGCAAGAGCTGTAGGAGGTACTTGTCCTGCACGTAATTGGGCAGAAACAGGCTGCAGGTTTTGGCTGACAGGGACTCGCAGGAGCTGGCCCTGGGGAGACACGGGTGCCCGTCACGGCGGGGCCGCAGGGTGCTGCCAGGTCCGCGGGGGCCGCAGGGGGCTCTGCACACGCGGGGGCGCCGGGCCCCAGGCCGTAGACAGGCCACCGGGGCCCGCGAGCCCCTCGGGGAGGCCCCAAACCCTGGCTCCGGCCGCGCGGCCCGGACTCCGAGTGACGCCCCCCGGGGACACTCACTTGGGGATGGCCACACTCTTGTCCATGACGCCCAGGGCCCGGGAGTTTAGGAAGTGGACGGGATGGCACTTTTGGAACAGCTCCTGTCGGGGACAAGGGCGCGGACGTCGGGCGTCTCCGGGCCTCGAGGCCGGGCCGCATGTCGGGGACCCGCCCCGCAGCCGTCGTGGCCACAGGTGGGATCACTCGGTCACCGCCTCGGCTGCCACCTGGGGCCCAGGCGTGGAGCGCGTGGGGCGGGCTCGGGGAGGCGGGGGCCGCGGGGGGGTGGTGGGGGTGGGGGGACGGGGGCGGGGGGGCCCGCGGGGGGGCACGGGTGGCGGCGGGGGGGGGCCGCGCGGCCGGCGCCCTCACCTGCTGCAGGAGCGTCAGCTGGCTGCAGAGCTGCTGGGTGCTGTACTCGGTCAGGAAGCAGGGCCCCTTCTCGCCGGCCCTGGCGTACGGCCCGTACAGGTCCTCGAGGAAGCAGGGCTTGGGCAGCGCCGACGCGATGCTGTACTGACGCTCCTTGTGCGGCAGCGCCAGCCCGTTGCCCCGGGACAGCCTCCAGGGGAAGCTCTGCGGGGCAGGCGGGCCGTGCTGAAGGGGCACCGCTGTGGGGTCGGGGAGGAGCGGCCCGGCTAGAGCCCCCGCGCAAACGCCTCCCGCCCGTGGCCGCATTGGCCCGAGGACACCTGTCCCGGTCCCCCGGGCAGGTCCCTCGCAGACAGAGCCACTGAAGTCCCCGTACACTGTGGACAGGCCCCCCAGGCCCCCGGCCCGGGCCACGTCCCGAGTGGTGCCTTCCACCCAGGCCCCTGGCCCGAGGGTGGGGAACGCTGGTCCTCCGGGCCGGGGCTCCCCCGCCGTCCTGTCCTCAGCGGGGCGAGGCCTCACGGGCTGGCGCCCCGGGCCGGCAGCGTGGGGAACATTGTGGGCGTGTCTGCCCACGGGTCCACGTGCGCGCAGCCCCCGGAGTTCGCTGGGCTGGGCTGGGGAGCCACGGCACCCGCCCCGGGAGGCCCACCCGGGAGAGGCCCCCACCTTCCGGGAGACGCCGTCTTCCGAGAGCCTCTTACAGAGCGCGTTGAGAGGCCTGGCGTCCTCCTCGGCTTCCTTGGGGTGCTCCAGGTCCGCGCCCCGTGAGGGGCCCTCGGCCCGCCGCTCCGCGCCCACCTCCAGGAGGCCCAGCAGGTGCTCCGCGGAGCCGTCCAGGGGCAGGATCTGGGCAGGAGCGCAAGGTGGTCACTTGCCACCCTGACGGTGGTGGCCATCAGGGCCCCGGCGCCGCCCGCGGGGGCCCAGGGGCTGTGCCTGCGTCACCTTGGAGGAGATGAAGTCCTCGAGGCTGCCCAGGAGCCCGCTGTTGCGGGTGAAGTCCACGGCGTAGCAGTCCTCCAGCCAGGCCTGCAGCAGGCAGAAGCTTCGCTTGTAGATCTTGGTGAAGGTTGAGCTGGGGTCCTGGTGGGCCCTGCGGGCAGAGGGGACGACAGGTGAGCCGCGCGGGTCCCCCCAGCCCTGCGGGGGCAGAGGGCCGAGTGGGGTCTGGACGAGGCCGTCTTCAGGAGGGCGGGACGCAGAGGCGGTAGCTGGCCAGCTGGGCCCCGGTCTCCTGGGGCGCTTCCCCCCCCGCAGCTGGGCTCCACGCATGGAGGTGTCTCCTGTGAGTCCCTGCCCCCAGGGTGGGAGGTGACGGCCGTCGGGCTGCGGCTCTGGAGCTCCCAGCCTGGGCACCGCATGCAGGCCTGCCGAGGGGCGCATGGGGGTCTGGCGGGGGCGACGGGCTGGCTCGGACAGCAGGCCACAGCCCGTCCGTCGCGCCTCCCCTCCCCTGACCCCGGCCCTCACCCTGTGTGCGGCTGCGGAAGGCCGAGGGCTTGCCACGCGCTCACCTCCCACGGGCCCCGCGCCCACCGCCTCCCGGAGCGTCCGCGGCCTCGCCGCCTGGGTCCCTTCCCGTGTGCCCTCCGTCCTCCGTCTTTGCTCTTCCTTCCCCGACCAGGCTGCGGCCTCGTCCTTGTCAGGGTCCCTGGGACCCCGGCCCCGCAGAGTCCCCGGGGTGCGCCGGGGGTCACGGCCGTACCTGGACAGGGTGCTGTTGATGCGGTCCAGCAGGAAGTGCAGGAAGTCGTGGGGCGTGCAGAAGTACCGGAAGGTGTACAGGAACTGCTGCACGTAGCCCTCCAGGAAGGCGTCGCTGCGGCAACACGACGCGCTCAGGGCACGGCGGGGGCCCGGGCCGCTCCCCACCCCGACCCCCAGCCGCCGTCCAGGGCCCGCAGGCCTCTCCTGCCGCCGGAGCCCGCCCGTGCCTCGGGTACGTGGGGGAGGCCCGGCTCCCCACGGCCTCCGTTAGCGGTGCTGGGGTAGGCGTGTGGAAGGGAGCCGTGTGAATGTGCGTGAGCGTGCAGGCGGGTGGGCTGCGTGCGTGGGCGCGCGTGCATGCTCGCCCTCGCCAGGAGGACGGCGGGAGAGGTAAAGGGGCGTGTGGGGCGCTGGGAACGCGAGGGGCTCCCAACCATCTCCGGGCGGAGGACCCTCTTTACCACTGATTTTGAGGCGCCCTCCCCACGGGCTTCTGGAACCCGTTCGGAACCCCCGCGCGGCCCGGGACCCAGCCCCTAGCCCGAACTCGCTGCATCAGGGGCGAGGCTGGCAATTTGTGCCCCCACATTCTCGGTTCCTCTGGCAAACCAGCCGGTGAGGGGACGAGCATCCCCAGCCTCGGGGCGCCCCAGGGAGCCCCAGGTCGGGCAACACCGCGCCGCTCAGTGACTCGGTCCCAGAAACAGGCAAGGCGTGAGGGTCCTGCGAGGCCGCCTCCCCGGCCACCACGCCGGGCCTCCGAGAGCGGACACGGCGCCTGGAGCCAGGTGGGTGCCCGGGCCGGCCTCCGTGGGCTGCGGCTGCCGTGGGCGCCGGGACCAGCCTGCGGGGGAGCCGCGTCCTCCAGCAGCCAAAGCCCCCGCGCGGGGCTGCCGCGCGCACTCGTACACGCCCCCACGCACAGCTCACTCACACACGCACCCGTGCAATGCGCACCTGTGCACACACACCCCCTCACAACGCACCTGTGCATACACACCCGTGCACACATGCACCCGTGTACACCCCCAAACACACACTCGTGCACACACAGCCCATGCACACACCACCCACACATGCACCCATGCACGCATATACCCCACTCACATATGCACCATGCACACACATACACTGCACTCACACGCACCCGTGACATACCCATGCACACCCCCCACTTAATGCACCTATGTGCACACACGCACCTGTGCACACACTTATGCACACACACCCCACCCACCCACACACCCGTGCACACACATCTGTGTACACACACCCCACTCATATACGCACCTGTGTCACACACACCACTTGCACCACACACACATGCAGACATGCACACCATGTGAGACCCCTCAACACACACCCCCCCATGCACACCCCACTCACACACACCCCCACCCATGCACATATATACCCCCCATTCCCCCACAGGCAGATACATGCACACCATGAAAAACCTCAACACACACATTCCCCCATGCACACACCACACACACATGCATAACCCCCTCATGCACATATACGCACATCCCACTCACATACCACATACACTCCTCACCCACAAACATGCACACACACACACCCATGCACATATGCATACATCCCACTCACACCGCCACATGCACATACGCGCACACCCTACTCACACACATACACACATGAACACAACCCACACAGGTACACACACCCCCCTCACACCACACACATACTCATGCAATATGCACTCCCCACTCACACATGCACACTCCCCCATGCACATATATACACTCCCCATTCACACACCGTACACACACTCATGCACTTATGCACACACCTCACTCACATGCACACACCCCACTTACACATGTACACTCCCTCATGCACATAAACACACCCACTGCTCATACACCAAACACACTCCTGCACATATGCACACATCCCACTCACATACACACACTCCACTCACACAGGCACACACACATCTCCTGTCATCGCACAGCCAGCCCTCGGTGTGTGTGGTACACTCATCACAAAGAAGATGGAGGCTAAGGTCTGAGTCCAAGGGTCGGCCTAGGGCCCAGGGCCAGTGGAAGGCTCCTAGCGCAGCCAGCCAGGTGGAGCCCACCTTGGGAGAACAGGGTACACGGGAAGAGGCTTCTGTCCTGGGGGGCCCCTGCTCTCAGGGACTTCCCTTGTTCCCTTAGTGTCCCTGTGTACCCTGCTAACACCTGACCATCAGTTCTAGGGTCACCACAGCCTCCAGCTCAAAGGTCTTGGGTGTTAAAGCCCAAGAGTGTTATGGGTCTCCCAAAGCCAAGACTGGGTAAGGCCTCCCACCCCTGTCTGGGAAGGTAATCTGTACCCAACCCTGAGCTGCCGGGCCTGTGCCTGGTGTGGGCCAGGCCACTGGGTCAGGGGAACTTGCCAAGTGGTCCTGCACCTGCATACCAGGAGGACATGAGAGGCCCATCCACACAGGACATGTGGCCGTGCCGACGGACTGGTGAGCACAAGGGTGGAGGGGTGTGAGGGTGTCCTGGGGTTCTGTGACCCTGAGTGTGAGGGGATTGGCCTCCCTGCTGCGCATGGTGAGCATGCACATTTATCAGTTACGGTGTCTGATGAATGGGTATAGTGCTCCTGCCCAGAAACAGTGGCTGCAGGAAGAATTCAATGAGCATGCTGAGACCAGCCTCCCTGGCAGTCCGGGGGGCTAGATAATTACGGGGTGTTCTGACGTGGCAAAGTGGCTAGGATCCAGGCATGTCCCGGAGGCTCCTGTGTCTGTTTAATTCTAGGGGCCCCCTGGGCTGTTACTTCTGCACGGCCACGCTCCCTGGCTCCTCCCTGAAGCACCTGCCCTGGCACACCTGAGGCTGCAGGTGCACGTCCACCCAAGAGCTTGGCAAGGGAGGCAAATTGCAGCTGAGCTGACACAGGCTTAAAGTTCTGATGAAAAAAATTTAAATTAAAAAAAGTATAAACCCACGTCAGATGAGGGAAGGCAGAGACTTTCTCCTGGGGGCCTGTTTCTTTTTTTCGGTCTCCCTTTTGCTTTCAAAAGGCATGAAAGGGTCCAGGGAACCCCCAGGCCCGCCTCCCCACTGGGGGCTGGGCAGCCGCACCTGGAGTAGAGGTATGCCATGAGCCCCAGCGGCGTGCCGGCCTGCAGGACGCGGGCCTTCCTCTGCTTGCCACCGCGGGGGTGCTTGCTGACGTTGTAGAAGATGAGGGACGAGGACTCGTCCAGAGGGCTGAAGTCCAGCGTGTCGCAGTGGGCCGCGGAGATGTTCACGATCACCGGCAGCGCGCAGGGCTCCAGGCCCCACCGCTCGGCATACATGACCTGTGTGCGCGGGGAAGCGGGCGCCTCGGTCTGGCTGGCCTCTGCCACCAGGTGCTGAGGGAGGGGGTGGGCAGGGTGCGGCGGACTTGCCTGCAGATACTTCTTGACCAGTCCCAGGAACTGCACTTTGCACTTCATTTCTTCCAGTTGGCCTCTCAGTTTGGACAACATGGTCTTCACCTCGGAACCTGTGGGCGGGCAGAGTGGGCACAAAGTGCCCCCCACTCCCCCGCGGATGCCCTGCCCAGCGCCCTGCTACCTTTACTGCGCTTCTCCTTCTGAAGGAGCTTCTGGTAGAACTTCAGAGTCTTCCGGTAATTCCTCTTCTCTATCAGGAGCTGCTGCTCCAGCTCCTGGCAGGACAGAGCTGGTGAGCGTTGCAGGTGCCCGCCACCCGCCCGCCTGTCTCCGAGCGCACCTGTCCCAGCGCAGCCTCCAGAAGTGGCCTCCCCCACCTCTGCGACCACGTGGGGACCTCCCAGGGACACAGTCACCCAGCTGCAGAAACAGTATCTGTGCGCCACGGGGGACAGGAATCTGCTGGGGGGACGAGGAAATGAGAGGGGAAACCGTGGTAGTGGGTGTGGACGCTAACAGGAGGAGCCCTCAGCACCCCTCTCGGGAACAGGCGGCCGAGCAAGGAACCCTGCAGGTGGACACACTGCTCTACCCTGGAGGGACGGGGAAGGTTTCCTCCTGCCCTGGCAACAGCCCAGCCAATGAGAGACGGCCAGGGCCCAGCCAATGAGAAGCCGTTACTCTTGCAGCCACCAGTTTACTCCAATTGGGTTTTAGTTTACAGCGGGCGCCCCAACTCCCTCTATAAAAGAGCCTCCTCTCCGTCCCCAGGGGTCTCCTGTGGTTTTGCCTTAATTTGCCGTTCTGTGCGATTCCCAAATAAACCTGTTTTTCTGGTGACATAACTGGCAGTTTTATCCTAAGAGTCCACAGGACTGGGGTGCAGACAGAGCACGTCAGTAGATCCCACTGAGCCACTGAGGACAGTGAGCTCGGAAGACAGCTGGGGTGGCGAGCACCTGACCTGGACCCGGACCTGGTCCCCCGACCCGGACCCTGCCCGCCGCTCCCAGTAGCAGTGCTGGGCCCCCAGCCCCCGCGGTGGCCCTCCCAGCCCCCCCATGCTGCCACCACCCACCGGGGGCTGCCCTTCAGGGGGTCTCCAGCGCTGCTTCTGGCAGCGGGGTGCGGTGTGGTGGTGGTGGGGGGTCTGCTGGCCAGCGCCTCCAGCCTTCCTGCCCCCCAGGCCCCTGTAGGCCCCCCACACTCCAGGCCCCTGCCGCAGACTCCTCCCACTCACCCTCGTTACCCGGGCCCCTTGGCCACCCTGCGTGGGGACATCACCTGGACGTGGGGTCATTGCTGCACCCCGGCCGTCTAGTGAGTCACGTCCTCAGGGGGTTTCCTGGGGGTCACAGTCTGTGGGGTGCCCAGGAGCGGGGGTCCCAGCTCCTCCTGGAGAACAGGCACGTCCCAGGGGACCCCCCAAGCTGGCCTGGCTGCGCGGTGCCCCCTGCTCTGTCCTCCCCACAGGCACAGGTCAGGGTTCTTGTGTCACAGGAAAACCCCGGGCAGGGCCGGCTCAGGCTGCCAGTGGTAGCAACAACCAGAACCCGCTCGGGACAGGTGCAGCCTGGCTCGGTGTCCCCACCCCGGGGCCCGGGGCTGCGGAGTGGTCAGGGTGGCCTGGCGCCTCTCCCCCCCGGCCGGCCCCGGGGCCCTGACGCGGCCACACCGCCCGGAGCCTCCACCTAAAGCCGGAATACACTGTGGCCTTCCTCCGGGCCCGGGGATCAGCGGCACCCCGAGTGAGCTCCCCCTCACCTGTCCAACTGCCGCGAGGGACTTCGCTTTGTTGGTAACACCTACTTCTGTGCGGCTTGTAAGATTAAAAATGCAGGTGGTGTTGTAGTTAAATGTTTGAGTATCTGGTGGTTTTACCGAAAAGGTGGTTCCTCCTGCGGCTGTTTGAACAGCGGGGAGCAGGTGCTACCGGGGCGCTGCGGGGCCGGGGCCGTGCCTGCTGTCGGGGGACGCGGCGCAGACCGACCACCTCCTCCCTCTGCCACGTGAAATCAGGTCCCAGGCCTCAGCTCGTTTTCCAACCGCGGGACGAGGAGGTCATGGTGTCCCGAGTGGGCTGGAGGCCCCAGCGGCTAGCTGCCAGGGTGGTGCGGGACCGACCCCCGGGGTACGTGGGCAGAACCGGGTGCGCAGGACCTGCGCGCCTGCAGCAGGGAGCCACTGGCCGCATGTGGCGTCTCTCGTACAGAAAGGACACAAAAATGTCAGTTCCTGGGTCCATGGGCCGCACCTCGAGAGCTCAGCCGCACGTGGCCGGTGGATGGCACGGATCTGGCCTGTGAGGTCACCCGGGTGGCACGAGGCCTGACACAGCGGTCCCCGCAGCGGCCCTGCAGCACTGTGCTCACGGGGGCTTGCGCCCTGCCCCACCCCACCCCCGGGGTCTGGCTTGACCCCCCGGGGTCTCTGCTGTCCTGTCCACACACACTTCTCTGCGATCCGGCTTCCTGAAAACGCGGGGACCCCGGCTGACGACCCCTAAAGCCCAAAGGGGAGGACGGCCTGGAGCCCTGGGTGGGGAGCCCTCCTTTTGCACGGCTCAGGACTGCCATGCGGAGAGCGCCCTTGGGGGACAGCCTGCACACGGCCCCCTCCAGCCCCGTCGCCCTCTCGCACCTGTCCAGGTGCGGGCCTGGACCGATGGCACGCACCCGCTTCCTGCCCGAGTGGGGCTCACACACACTCGTCCCCGCATCTTGGAAACTTCGGTTTATGAAGTTAGGTATGAAGTTTGTTGGCCACGCTTCTCACCCCACCGAACTACAGACTGGTTTTTCGGAAAGGACAGTTTTGACTGATTTTAAAACTAAATCTACGTGAACTAAAATTCACAGAAGCCTCTGGAAGCAGCACAGTGGCCGCAGGCCCGACACGGACTGGCCAGGCCTAGGTACCCTCGGGGGCACGGGCGGGCAGGCTTCCAGGCCTAAGCCAGCCAAGGGTTCTCTGGGGTCATAGGACGAGTGAGTGTGGATTCGAGGCCCGGAGCACACGTGGCTCCTGGTGCAGGACCTGAGGGCAGCCCAGACCAGGACAACCTGTTGGAAGGAAGCTGGAAAGTGGGAACGCGTAGACAAGGAGAGGAAAGGCTGAACGGGAATCAGCACTGAACGCCGACAACAAAGCCTGACAGCCCGGGGCCGCAGAGCCGTGGGCACCCAGCCCACAGTCACACAGGGGCCTCGGGCCCGGCCACTCACGCTCCTGTCGATGCCCTCAGCCGTGCTGCCTATGCCACGCCCGGGCCTGCCCCACACTCGCCCTGTGTGGGCAGCGAGTGTGAACGCGTGTCCAGTCCATCCCTTCCAAGGCAGATGCAGCGGGTTCTGAGAGGAACGCGCAACGACGGCCGCCCCGTCCAGCCCGCCCACGACACATGGGGCGCGGGAAGCTCACCTGTCTGCATTCCGGTTCCAGGAAAGACGTCTTCCCAGGTGAGCGGGAATGAAAAGGAAAATAAGGTCACCCAGGTCACTCTGCAGTGCCCCTTGCACGGCCTGTCTCCCCCAGACTGTGCGTGTGGGGCTGAGCCCGGGTTTCAGAGCCCGAGGCCCAGGGAAGCTCGTCCACCTCGGGGTTGTGGCCGCCGGCACCTCCTGTCCCGCTCTGGTCTGCAAGGCCCTTTCAAGACCCGTGGGAGCATGGTGATGGGGCCCGGGATCCCCGGTGGGTGTGTGTCCTTGCCTAGGGCAGCCACGGGGAGCCAGGGATAGACGACAGGGTCCACCAGCTGATGGGCACTCACACGCGCCAGAGCCACCCTCTATGGTCCCCACACGGTGTGAGGTCGGTGGGCATGACCTGTGATGTCAGAGGACGATGAGGACGACCTGGGGCACTGGAGGCCACACCTGGACTCTGGGTGTCCCCCTTCCCCACAACTGCGAGGATGAAGCTGTTGGGGCCTCCGAGAGGCCACATTCTCTGTGACTCGGGGCGTGACCCCGGTGCCACCATCATCCCCGTTCCTGGGTCAGCGGGGCCCGTGTCCCGGTCCAGCTGAAGTCAGGGTGACAGGCCGGTGCGAACACCCAGGCTCGGACCGAGGGATGGCAGAGGGACCTCCCGGGGATGCTGCCCGGCGTCTTCTGCGTTCACTTCGACTCAACTGTGATGACCTGTGCTTCACGTCCCCAGGGCCGCTGGTCGTCTGCCCCATTTTGTTCTCAACTATTTTATTTAAAGATTGATTTATTTACAGGATCCCTGCGTGGCTCAGCGGTTTGGTACCTGCCTTCGGCCCAGGGTGTGGGAGACCCGGGATCGAGTCCCACATCGAGCTCCCTGCATGGAGCCTGCTTCTCTCTCTGCCTGTGTCTCTGCTCTCTCTCTCTCTCTTCTCTGTGTGTCTCTCATTAATAAATAAAATATTTAAAAAATTGATTTGAGAGGAAGAGCGAGCATGTGGCACAGTGGGGAGGGGCTGAAGCTGGGACCCTGAGGTCATGACCTGAGCTGAAACCAAGGGTTGGACACCTGACGGGCTGGGCCACTCAGGCACCTTGTTCTCAGCTGGCTTTTACATTTTATTTTCAAAAATGTTTTGTGACAAAATCTATAGAACGTATAATTTACCATTTTTCATCGTGCTGTTCAGCGGCATCACCCGGCTGGGTTGGCTGGGTCACCTGGGTCACGGTGGTGCGGCCCCCCATCCCCACCCCAGCCCTGTCCCCAGGCCTCTCCTACTCCCACCCCCACCCCAGGCTGAGGCTCTGTCCCCGCCCCCGTGCTACGGTGGCCCCCCCCCATCTCTGGGAAGGCGACATCGCGGGGACCTCGTGCAGGTGGCATCATGCAGTGTGCGTCCTTCCGCGTCCGGCTTCTCTCCCTTGGCCTTGTGCCCTCGGGGCGCATCCGCACCTCCTCTTGTGGCTGAGAGATGCTCCGTGTGGCCGGAGCCGCTGTGCTCCTCCGTCTGTCTGTCTGTCCGTCCGTGCGGGACACGTGGGTCCCCGCCCCCTCTGGGCGCCTGGGCCCGTGTGGTGCAGCCCTGCCCGGTCCTGGGGGGCCCGGGGGATGTGCTGAGTCGCGTGGTAAATCCAGGCGTAGGCTTGGAGGAGGCTCCTGGGAGGTGGTGCCACCGGCATTTCCCCCCGCCCCAGGGGGCTCCAGGAGGCTGGAGGAGGCTGGAGGGGCCTGGAGGGGGCTGGAGCGGGCTGGAGGGGGTGGAGGGGGCTGGCAGTCCCTCTCACCGCCGGCGCCGTCCAGGTGGTCCTGGGCTTTCCCGCGGGGACCGGGGATGCTGGGCGCCTCCTTGCGCGCGGGGCTGTTCGGCCCCTGCACGGCCGAGGTCCCCGCGCCCTGGGGCCTGCGCGAGCTCCGGCCGCTGATGCGCAGGCTGCCTCCTGGCCGCGCACCTTCTCCGCTGCTACCTCCGGTGCCTGCGCTCCGGGCGCCACATCCGAGAAGCCGTGTCCGCGTCCCGTGTCGCGGAGCTTCCACGCGTGATTTCTTCCAGGGCTGCGGCTGCAGCGCTCAGGTCGGGGACGTTCTCGCTCCTCCTCGGAGCGGCCTGCGGAGCCCGGACACCCGGGGGTGCAGCGCCGCCTCGGCTCCTCCGGGCGCTGCAGGCCGGGCGCTGGGCCCGCGGTGCCGCCCGCACGTTCGGGACTCAAGGCCGCGCCCCAGCCCGTCAGGTGCCAACCTTGGTTCAGCTCAGGTCATGACCTGAGGTCCGGGAGGTCCCTGGGCTTGTCCGCGAGCTCGGGTCGGCTCCTTCCACCCCCCGGACAGCACCGTGGGCGCCCGCGCGGCCCTGGGCGTGGGCGTGGGCGTGCGTGTCCGCGACTCTGAGCGGGAGGCGCTGGTCTCCAAGGCCCTCCCGCCCCGGCCACGCCCCGGGCCCGCCCCGGCCACGCCCCCGGCCCGCCCCGGCCACGCCCCCGGCCCGGCCCTGCTCCAACTCCGCCCTCCAACCCCCCGCCCTGACTCCGCCCCTGCGCTGGCCCCGCCCCTCGCCCCGCCCCCGGCCCGGCCCTGCTCCAACTCCGCCCTCCAACCCCCCGCCCTGACTCCGCCCCTGCGCTGGCCCCGCCCCTCGCCCCGCCCCCGGCCCGGCCCTGCTCCAACTCCGCCCTCCAACCCCCCGCCCTGACTCCGCCCCTGCGCTGGCCCCGCCCCTCGCCCCGCCCCCGGCCCGGCCCTGCTCCAACTCCGCCCTCCAACCCCCCGCCCTGACTCCACCCCTGCGCTGGCCCCGCCCCTCGCCCCGCCCCCGCCCCGCGGCCCCGCCCCGTCATCCGCTCCCCTGCACGCGAGGAGGCCCCCGCGGGTCGGCCCCCGCCTCCCGGTCCCGGGCCCTGCTCTCTCCCAGGAGCCCCGTCCCCCCCCCCCCCGCCGTAGCCCGCCCCCGCCCCGCCCCGCCCCGCCCCGGCGCCCCCTCTGCGCCCCGCGGCGACCCAGGGACGGCCCAGCCTGGGGAGGACCGTCCCGCCCCCGGCGCACCACGCGCTGCGGCCCCGTCTCACCCGCGGCGCCAGCCCCGTCCGCTTCGCAGCCTCAGTTTCCCTACGGGCCCACTCGGGGCTCCCCCCGGGCTTCGGGGTCGCCCTCCGCGCCAGGCCCCGGGGTGTCGTGGCCGCCACGGCGCGTGGGGGGCGCAGGAGGCCAGGACGAAGGGGCGGCGCGGCCCCCATCCCCACGCGTGCCAGTGGGCGGCCAGGCGGCGGCGGGAGGTGCCGGGGGAGTGGGCGGAGCGCGGCGGGAACCGAGCGTCTGGGGCCCTGCCCGTGGCTGTCCCGGGGGCCAGGCCTGCGCCCCGAGGCCTGAGCGGGCCCTGCTGGGGGGCGGGGGCTACAGCGCGGTCGGAGCTGCTGGCTCCGCGGGCGCCGGGCCGCTCTCAAGGGTGAGGCCCACTTGGCCCTGCTGACCCGGGGAAGCCTGGCTGCCCAGCAGGGCGCAGGGGGGACGCTGCCCACCTCAGACGCCCGGGCCGAGGGACCCCTTGTGCCACCTGGACAGACCCCACGGGCCTGGCACCTCTGCTGTTCTCGCACCTCGCGCTGCCCTCCGTTTGGGGAGCGGCCTGGAGGAGGGGCTCAGCCCGCCTGCCCCCGCGGGGGGCACGGCCGCTACCCAGCTGTGGCGGCCAGGCCAGCCGGGGCTCACCGCTGCGGGACCTGCGGCCACCGCGCCCTTCCCTGCACCGCCAGCAGCGGGCCGCGGGCGACACTCACCGGGCCCTGGGCGTCCGCGTCGCCGGCCCCGCCAGCCTTCTGCCTCGCCAGCTCCCTCACGTAGCTGTAGACGTCGGCGCCGAAGCAGTCGGCCTCGTAGAAGGCGCTGCACCAGCCGGGGCTGCAGCTCTGGAGCTCGGCCAGCCCGGCGTCCTTGGGCCTGGCCAGCCGGGTCACCACCTCGGGGCCCGGGCCCCCGCCCGGCTGCCCGTGCTCTCCCGCCTCCTGCTGCCGCTCCCGCTCGGCTTTGACCGACTTCTGAGGCCGGAATCCCACCTCGAAGTTACCCCGTGACAGCTCGTCGGCGTCCACGTCGGCCAGCGATGGGGGCGGGCAGGGGGCTCGGCTCATGCGCCCCGCGGTCAGTTTGTCCTTCCCTGCACAGGACGGGAGGACTCCGCTGGGAACTCGGGAATGCGTGGGGCCGAGCGCATCCCGGATCATCAGGAGAGGCTGCTCGTGCTGAGCCGCAGACGCGGGGCCCTGCCTGCTGCTCTGGGGCCCACGGGGTCCTGAGGGTTCAGGGCACAGTCCTGCTTCCCAGGAGGCCCCCGATCCCCTCCCCAACGCAGGCTGCCCTGGGCCGGCATCCCGAGAGGAGCCCCCAGAGCCGGTGCAGGGTGACCACGGGGAGGCGGGCCCGGGGGGCGGAGATGCTCGCTGGGCACCAGCACCCTGCTCTGCACCTGCCGGGGCTGTGCAGGGCGAGAGGGCGGGAGGAGGGCGCCTGCCTCGCCACCGCTGCGGTGGCCGTCACACGGGTACTCGTGGTCACGCGGCCTGGTGCCCGAAGCCGCGACCGCCCAGGCCGGATTCCGTGAGCTTACGAAGGTTTTAGTGACCTCGGAGTCCTGCGCTAACGTTGCAGGACGACCAGCCCCAGAGCCTTGAAATGGCACAAGTTTGCAGAAAAAGTGCCAAGATGTCCCGGTCACCATGCTGCTGCCCGTGATCCCAGGACAATGAGATGCCCGCCCAGCCCTGCCCTGCGCTCCGGCTTGCCGCCCACCTGCTGACGTGGGGACCCCTCCCGGCACGGAGCCCCCGGGGGGACGAGCCTGCACTGGGGCCTCCGTGGGGGCAGGGAAGCCTCTGCCATAGTGACCCAGTCACAGGCAGGGGGCGGCGTGGACCCCACCGCGCACAGCTCCTGTCTTACCCGCTCCGCGCAGCGACGGCCTTTTGCTGGACAGCGAGCAGCCATGTGGCCCGCCGGCCTCGCCGGCCTCAGCCTGTGACCCGGCCTCCTCCTCGGGAGCTCTGGCATCAGAAGGGAGGACACTGCAGGCGCCCCCCGGCCCCCCCCCCCCACCGCACCGCTTCCCTGCACTGCCTCTGGGGATAGACTTGGCGCTGGGCTGGGGGCCGCCGAGGGCACCCGAGCGCAGGCCCCAGGCCGTCCCGACACCCTCCTTCCAGAGTTAAGGGGCCCAGTGTTGGTACGGGGCTTCCCGGGCACCCGTTTCTGGAGGTCCCTGGAGGGCCCTGCTCACGCTGTGGGAACTGTGGCGTTTGCTGCCTTGTGGGGTGCAGGGGTGTCCGGGGGGGGAGCGTGGGACGGAGTGGGGCGCTCCTGCCAGTGCTCCGTCCACGTGTGTGCACAGGTGCCCTCACAGCTCCCACGGCACATGCGAAGTGACCGTGGGCCCCACCTACCCGCTGTGGTCGCTGTGGCATCGGGTCACTCCCCTCGGTCCCCACAGCCCCCTGGGAGGCCTGCGACTGTCACCCCACCTTCTGCCGTTAGGAGGGGAGCTGTCCCCCTGCGCCGACCTGGACAGCGAGGGGCCAGATGCAGTTCCCTGGGGTCACCCTCCTCTGGGGCTCCTGTCACGTGGCCTCTTCAAGCCGGTAGCTGAGCGGGGAGGTGTGCTGCCCACACCCCGGGAGCCCCCTGCCCTGTCCTCCCGGGGGTTCGGGTGGGTTCAGGCCCAGCCAGAGGGCCCCGGGGCCGGGACGGCCAGTGCCGGGAGGGGAGGGGGACGAGCTGGACGTCAGGCGACAGGAGGGTGTGGGGGGACACGGCGGGGCTGGGAGGGGGCGGACCCGGGGCCGTCCGGCCCGGCAGGGACCCCAGGGTGCGGAAGGCCTGGGGCCTGAGCAGGACTCACTTGTGGGAGGGGGACGTCCTCCCGTTCACCACCCTGAAGAGGCTCTGCAGCAGCTTCTCCCCCCAGTAGAGGTCGCAGAACTTCTCGGAGATGGCCCCGCAGAACGTGGCGTACGTGAGGTCTTTCAAGGCGTAAATGTATTCCCCTGGGTTTGCGGGGCGGTAGCGGCCAGTTACGCGGTGGGCGAACCCCCTCGGGTCCCCTGCTCCCCACGGCTGACGTGCGGGCGGGGGAGGGGGGACCAGGCTCTGAGACCCTTGTCCTGCCCCCCCAGGGGCTCAGCTCTGCCCCGAGCTCCTGGTGCAGGTGGACAAGCGGGGCCCCTGCTGGCGCCGAGCCTCCCCCAGTGCACTGTGTCCCCTCGTGGCCTCTCCCGGGCCCTGGGGTTCTCTGGGGGACCCTGTGCCCCCCCACGATACCCATGATCAGAGACTCCAGCCCGTTGTCCAGGTAGCCGTCGAAGGCAAACTCCTCCTGGATGAGGCGCATGGCCTCCTGCAGCGACGGGCAGGCTGTCCTCGGGAGGGGCGAGGCGTCCACGCTGGGCGGGCAGGGCTTGCGGTCTGCTGGCGGGGGCCGCTCGGGGCCACCATCAGGGGCCTGCGCATCCTGCTCTGGGACACGAGTGCGTGTGGGGCTGTCTGGACTGGCCTCGGCCGCGGAGGGGTCCCGGGGGGCTGGCAGGGGACCCGCAGGCTCCTGGCCTGGGCCCTCGGTGGCCTTGCTCCTGAGTGGCTGGGCCGGGTGGCGGGCGTCGAGGCCGGCTGCATCGGACCCTGGGGCTCTGGGTGCAACTTGGTCCAGCCCCTGCTCCGCGGTGGGAGGCGCCTGTGGCTTCAGAGGTGGGACAGCCGTGGCGGGCTCGGGCCTGGCCGGGGAGGCCCCCTCCAGGGCAGGGGGTGCGGGGCAGGGGCTCCCCTGGGCCGTGTCCGTCGCGGGCTCCCTGAGAGGTTCTGGGGCTGCTCCCTGGGGTCCGGGCCCCAGTGCTGGCTGCTCAGGAGTCGTCCGGCTGGGGGCTGCTCCGTGGGCCTCAGGGGCCTGCTTCCCGTCGCCCGCCCCATCCCTGAGAGCACAGAGAGCAGTCAGCACTGAGGGGGGCTCGGGGACCCCGCAGGCTCCGGGGTGGGGGTGCTCACCTGGCGCCACCTGCATTGGATGCCAGCACGATGGGCCTGAAGCGCGAGGCTGCGGAGGTGAGGGCGGCCGGCAGCAGCACGGCCCCTTCGCGGCAGGGGGGTGCAGCGGGCACGGGCCCCTGCGTGGCCTCCGGCCTGGTGGGGCCACTGACCCCAACGGAGCCTGGGGACGAGCTGCGGGTGAGCACCGGGGCCGACACCCTGATGGAGCCCCCGCCTCTGCCCCCACGGGCCCCGCGCGTCTCGGAGGGGACTTCCAGAGGCCTGAGCGGGGGCGGGGCAGCAGCCGAGGGGGGCCGGGGGGATGCGGCGGTCGGCGGGATGTGCACGTGGCCGTGGGGCGAGAGCGGAGAGGGGTCACCGGCCTGCTGTGGTGGCTGGCGACGCGGGGGCTGGCGGCGGTGGGGCGAGGGCTGGAGTGGACGGCAAGGCCACCGGACGCCCCGGGGCACCCCCAGGGCCGAGGGGGCAGTGGAGCGTGAGGGGCTGGGCCCGGGGCCCACCTGAGCCGGGCCCTGGGGCGGGCTCCGCGCTGGGCTGCAGCTCAACCAGGGAGACCCCGTTCTGGAGGCCGATGGTCTCTTCCTCCTGGGGAACCTGGGAGGGGACAGGGCCAGCCTGGTCAGGGCGGCAGCAGGGCCCGAGGCGCAGGGTGGACGCTTCGGCCCGCACCGGCTCACATGGCGGGCTGGCTCGTCCTTCCCGTGGGTGCCCTCGGGGGTGCTCAGCTTCCCAAGTCAGCAAGGTTTTCTGGGTTCCTGGCCCCATCGAGGCCCCGGGTGACTTGGGGCACAGACTCTCAAGCCAAGCAGGGGGGCGTGCGTGCGAGTCCAACGTCCAAGGGCTCCGCCTGGGGCAGCGTGCCCGGGAGGCTGGCAGGGGCATTTATGAACCCCACCAGCACCCCAAGGGTCGCCCGGCAGGATGTGTCCGCGTCCCTGTGGTGGCCGAAGGGCACCCACCCACGCGGGCCAGCAGCAGAGGACGGGGCGCGGGCTGTGAGTGGCCCCTCTGAGGCTAAGAAGTGACCACCTCTTCCCTAAACTCGCTCGGTATTTGCAGAAAACATCATAAAATGAAGATCCTCCTGCCCCCCGGGCCCCCAGGGCAGAGTAAAGGGGGTTCGCCACCTGCAAGGCCCCATCTCACCTGACAGGTCAACGCCCTCAGGTGGGCCAGGATCTTTCTGCTGTCCATGCCTCGCTGCAGGAGGTAGGTGCTGCATACCTGCGGGGGACAGGCCTCGTGTGCAGGCGCTCTGCCACGCCGCAGCCGGGCACCGGCCCCCCAGGGCCCCCTGTGGCCCCCCCGGGACCCTAGGTCACCCCCCGTCACCCGCACATGGAGGGGCACCAGCCCGCCATGTGGGAGCATCTACGGTAACGGGGGTGACCTGTCCCCTGCCCTTGAGCATCTGTGTCCTATCACCCGGGAGCCCCAGCCTTGGGAGCACCATCGCCAGGAAGGATGGAGCCCCGGCTCCCAGCATCGGTGGGGCGGTGGGCACAGCACCCTCCCAGCCCCTCACTCTCAGAAGACTCCTAGCAGGCTCCGTGCCGATCTGCAGTGGAGGGAAGGTCATTCCCTGGGGTCTGTCCACCCGTCTGTCCACCTGTCCGCAGCCACTGAGCAAAGTGCTTCAGCATCAAGGCTGATGTCTGCTGCCTTCATCTGCCAGGGGAGCAGCCCGGGGCGGCTGGGGGCACAGGGGGCCACACAGGGCTCCCCTGCAGAAGGTGGCCGCCTGCGGCCTCTTCATCTTGGGAACAATCTCGGGACCCCCTGGGCTGGTGCAGCTCTTGCTGACAGATGGGGGCTCTCCTGGGAGGGGCAGGACCCGGCCCACGGACCCCTGCCCAGCCTGCAGAGACCACAGCGGGAAGGGGAGGCCCAGAGGACCCGGAGGAGGCGTGGGGGTTTGGGCTGTTGGGGAGAACACCCCGTCCCCACGCCGGCCGGCCGAACTCCCCGGAGACAACCGGGTGTCAGACACTGTCGGCCACCTGTCCGCAAACGAACCCACAGCCCTCCCTGCGCAATGCCCATGTGTCCTGGAGTCAGGCACCTGTGCACCCCGTCGGCCACCGCCTGGGCCCGGGACCAGGAGCTGGGGTCCTGCCTGCGGCGCGTTACCTTGATGGCCTCAGCTGGGCACGGCCGCTCCTGGGCACTGCGTCTGGCCATGTCCAAGAGGAGGGTCTTGAGCCTGCGGGGCAGGGCCAGCTTGTGGTCTCGGGGGACGCTGAACTTGGCGGCCGTCCACAGCACCGCGGCCACGCAGTACACGGAAGCCTGGTGGGGAAGAGCCCAGCCCTGCTCAGCGCCCCCCCCAGGGCCCCCAGGGCCCCAGCAGGGCAGCCGCTCCGTGGGGACCCCTCCTCGGAGCGCGGACGCCCAGCTGGACCCGCAGGCAGGTCCCCCCGGGGCCTGTGGCCTGGGAATGTACTCGTCGCCAAACACCCTGGGGTCACTCGCAGCCACAACCCGGGGACCCTCCCACTTTCACTGACCTGGGGTGGGGGTGGAGGCCGCATCCCGGGGCCCTGAGCCAGCGCGTGCTGCGAAATGGTCGACCGGGCTCCTGAGCAGAAGTGCCCACCTCTATGTCCACACGGGACTTTGTTCTAAGTGCCCCGTGTGCAGGGCGGGTGCACACCGTGGACGAGAGGGGCGGGATACCTAGTACGTTCCACGGAGCCTGGGGATCGTCCCCGACACGCTTGTGCATTTGACTCGGCGCTTGGACCTGAGTCCACCTGCGGCCGACACGCGGCCCCCACGCCTGCCGCCGGGTGTTTCCGTTTAACCCAAGACGGAAGCGCAAGTGGAAGGCCTCGGTCCGTTCGCTGCGGGGCGGGGGCGGGGGACGGCTGTCTCGCCACGGGCGGCGGCTGCTGGAGGTCGCGGGTCGGCACCGGACACGGCACGCTTCACCACCAACACTTCCTCCTCACGCCGTGAGGTCTGCGCAGCCCCGGTTTCTGCGTGTGCCCATCTCTGGGGTGAACGGTCCACACGCCTGCACCGGGCACGGGGGGCGGCCCACGGTGCCCCTCCTGGAGCGCACGACGCTCTCATCCCGCAGACCCCGTTTGCTGTGCACATTTACTGACGTTTTTAGAAAACGTAACCCTTTATTTTGAGATAGAGATTCACGTACAGTTGTAGGAAATGATACAAACGGACCCCCGCGTACCCCGTACCCAGTTCCCCACAACAGTCACATCTCGCAAAACCGTTGGGCAACACCGACCAGGACGCTGGCCTCCACACGATGACGACACAGGACGTGTCCCTCCTTGGGATGCGCCCCGCTGCCCTCGCCGCAGGCACTTAATCCCCGGCGACTAGGATCTGTGGTGCGTTTCTGCGATTTTGTGCCGTTCGCATGAATGGGCACAGCGGGTGACCTCTGGGGATCAGCACACGCGGAGATCCAGCCAGGCTGCTGCCTTATCGACCCCTGGCTCCCCGTGCGCAGGGACCACGCTCGCTTTACCACCATTTGCCCCCCAGGGGCAGACGTCTGGGCTGTTCTGGAGGCAGTGGCGGTGATCAACCGGGGGCAGGATTTTGTGCAGATTTATGACTCATTTCTCCAGGACGGGCGCCTGGGAATGCGCTTCTGGGCTGCAGGGAACCTACGTGTTGAGTTTCTGACCCAGCTGCCAAAAGGGCCGTGCCCCCCAGTAGCAACCAGGAGCTCCCGCCGTGCCATGTCCTCACCGGCACCGGCTCTGGTCAGCATTTGGGGTCGAGCCATTCTCATCGCGAGGAGTGGTGTCTCCCTGTTTTGGTTTGCAATTCCCACAAGCCAGCCACATGACGTCGCACGGCTTTCATATACTCGCTTGCCATCTTGTTCAGTGAGGGTCTGTGCAGATCTTTTGCCCACTTTTTAATTGGGTTGGTTTTAATTGTTGACTTATAAGAGCTCTTTGTATATTTAGGATATAGGGGCTTCATCAGATGTGTGTTCTGCAAATATTTTCTCCCATCCGTGGCTTGTCTTTTCGCTCCCTTAGAGTGTCTTTCGCAGACTGGAGGTTTGAGGTTATAATGAGGCCTACACATCGGACTCTCTCTTTCACAGACTGCTTTTGCGTGGTGCCCAGAAACTACTGCCAGATTCCTCCTCTGGTATCTTCTGGGGGCTTTACAGTTTGCATGTTGCATTTAGGTCTAGGATCCATCTCGAGTTAACGTTTGTGAACAGTGCAAGGTCTTTGTTAAGATCCGTCTTATTGGGATCCCTGGGTGGTGCAGCGGTTTGGCGCCTGCCTTTGGCCCAGGGTGTGATCCTGGAGACCCGGGATCGAGTCCCGCAACGGGCTCCCTGCATGGAGCCTGCTTCTCCCTCTGCCTATGTCTCTGCCTCTCTCTCTCTCTCTCTGTGACTATCATAAATAAATAAAAAAATTAAAAAAAAAAAGATCCATCTTGTTTTCGTGTTTTGCACGTGGGCACTCAGTTGTTCCAGCGCCATTTGTTAAAGAGACTGTTGTTTCTCCACGGAACGGCCTTGGCTCCTTGGCTGAGACCGTGGACTATATTTGTGTGGGTCTATTTCTGAGTTCTCTGTTCTGTTCCATTTATTTGTCTTTTGCCAGCAACACAGTCGCGATAACAACTGGCTTTATAGTAAGTTTTAAACTTGAGCAGCGTCAGTCTCCTGACTTCCTTCTCCTTCCCCTTCCCTCTTCTTCTTTACTGGGCCTTTAGTCTCCATACAGACTCGAAAACCAGATCGTTCACATCTGTGAGTAACTTGCCGGGATTCCGACTGGAGTTGCATTCAATCTATGGGTCAACTTGGGAAGAACTGATATATTAACGGGATTGACTCCTCCTATCCATGAACATGGACTATCTCTCAATTTATTTAGATTTTTTAATCAGAGAGTTTTGTAGTTTCCCTTATGGATCTTATATGTATTTTGTTAGATTTATACGTGTGAATGTAAATCAAATTGTATTTTAAATCCCAGGTGCCAGTTGTGCACCGCTGGTGAACAGTGAAGCAACTGACTTTTGCATATTAACCTGCCATCCTAAAATCTCGCTTATTAGTTCCAGGAGGTTTTTGTTGATTCTTTGGGATTTTCTACATAGACAATCACATCACTGTGAACAAAGGCAGTTTTATTTCTTCCTTCTCAATCTGCACCCATTTTCTTTTCTTGTCTTATTCCATTACCTAGGACTTCCAGTATGAGGTCGAGCGGCAGTGGTTAGAGGGACACTCTTGAGTTTTTCCCAGTCTAGTTCCTCACCATTAATTGTGTGAGCTGTAGGTTTTAGTAGATGTTCTTTATCAAGTTGAGGAGGTTCCCCTCCATTCGTAGGTTGCTGAGAGTTTGTACCCTGATGTGTGTCAGATTTTGTCGATAGCTTAGCATCTGTTGACATGAACACAATTTGTCTTCTTTGGCCATTGACGTGATGTCCTGAATTAATGACTTTCCCATTGTTGAGTCAGCCTTCCATACGTGGAATAAAATCTCACTTGGTCAGTTTCTGACTTTGGTGAAGTTCATTTTTCCCACTTTTCCTTTCATGGAAACATTTATGGACACTGCTTGCGGTGTCAAGTTTAAAGACTCTTTGCCTGGCGCTTTATCGCAGAGATTTTTCTTTGGTTTCTTTCATCAGCGTTTTGTAGTTTTCAAGACATAAGTCCTGTGCATGCTTGGTTAGATTTACATGTAAGTATTTCATTGTTTGAGTCACTATACATTAAATTGAGTTTACATTTTATATTTTAATTAGATTTATGTTTATTTTTGAATTTTCCTTCAGCTAAGACAACAGAAGAGATTTATTGTACATGTTACAAATCAGCAGCAACTGAGAACAGAGTTAGTCCTAAATGTCACAGTTCCGGGGCAAAGGACAAAAGGGATTGTTTTTGTATGAACAAGGTGGATCTCTCAGAAGTGGCTGTGATCAGGGACCCCTGGGTGGCTCAGGGGTTTAGCGCTGCCTTCAGCCCAGGGCGTGATCCTGGAGTTCCGGGATCGAGTCCCACATCAAGTCCCACAGGGAGCCTGTTTCTCCCTCTGCCTATGCCTCTGCCTCTTTCTCTCTCTCTCTCTCTGTGTGTGTCTCTCATGACTAAATGGATAGAATCTTTAAAAAAAAAAAAAAGAAATGGCTGTGATCAGATGGTGATAGATGTTCTAGAGCCACTGCGACAAATTCTAGAAAGTAAGTGTGGCTGTCCAACAATTTGCACCAGTGTCCCTGGCTTCTGGCCTTTCTTTCCTGTGGCCTTGTGGGTGCACAAGCTTGCACTTTACTTGGACCTCAGCCTCCTCTTTCTTCTTTTTCACTTTGGTCTCTGTATTTGCTTTTTCTTCCACTTGGTTCGTGGCCCAAAGGTTTCCAAGATGGTGCCAATGCTGAGAGCAAGTGCACTGTATATGTATATTTTTTGTACTGTATTTTAGATTTTGGTGTTTGCATGTTCATCGCTAACATACAGAAATACAATTGATTTTTGAACATTTATCTTATATCCTGTGAGCTTTCTGAACTCACTCATTAATCCCATGGGCTTCCTTGGAATTTTCTATATAGACAGTTATGTCTTCTGCAAACAGTATCATTTCTTCTTCTTGGCCTTTATGTTTTTTACTTGCTTTTTTTTTTTTTTTTTTTGCATTATGGTAGTGGCTGGAACTTCCAGCAGTAGCCGTAGAAACTGGTACTTTAAAAAAAAAAAAAGAAAGAAAGAAACTGGTACTTTATGTTTCCTGAAGAGTTGGTCCATTTCATCTAAGTTGTTAAATTTATGTGCGTAGAGTTGTCTGTGGCCTTCACTGCATTATTCTTTTGATGTCTAAATGGTCTGTGGGGATCCGTTTGCCATCCTGATATTGATAATTTGTGTCTTGTTTTTTTTTTTCTTGGTCAGTTTTGCTGGTAAGTTTTAAAATTTTATTCATCTTTTCCAAGAACCAGATCACTAAGTTGAGCTTTTACCTCTTTTCTCACATAGGCATTTAGTGCTATGAATTTCCCTCTTAGGTCTGCTTTGGTGTGTCTCGGCATCAATGTTGGCATCTGTTGATTTTCTTTCATTTGGTTTGAGATCTTCCTGGTTCTTGGCGTGGCAAGTGGTTTTTGGTTGAAACCTGGCCATTTTCATGTTGTAAGACTCTCAGTCTTGTTTAACCTGTTTTTCCTGGCTTTCTCTGACAGCACCATCAGGAAGAGGGGCACCATCTCATTATCGCCAGGTGGGGGCAGAGCCCAGATTCTGTATTTGGCTCCATCTGACACCTGAGTTGGGGGGGGTCTCCTCTTCACTGTGAATGGGGTTGGGGGATACTCCTCTGGCTGGGGAGGCAGGCATGCATCCTTTCTGCTCTTCACCTGCCTCCCAGCATGAGGTGGGGGTGGTCTTGTGGCTGCTGCGAGGCAGTGGGAGCCCCAGGCTGGGAGGAGCATTTGCTACTGCCAGGGCTGGGGGGTGCGGTGGGGGTCCAGGCTCCCCCGGGTCCCCACTGGCCTAATGGACAGAGGTGCCTGGGGGCCCACTCCTTCCCTTGCCACGTCCTCCAGCTTGAGAGCACGGCCTCTGTGTCTCCATGTATGATGTAGAGAGATGGAGCACGGCCCTCCCTCCTGTGCCTTCCTCGGGCCTGAGGCCCCGGCCCAGCTGCCTTCTGCGCTCTACCCTTCAGACCTCTCGTGCTTGTTTGAGGGATCTGGGGTTTTGAGATGTACGTTGGAGGAGTGGGGAAGTGGAGTTCCACCTCAGTTTTGAATATAATTTACCTAATTTTCAAGTTTGTACAATTTGATTTTTTTTATTATTATTTTTTAAAGTAAGCTCCATGCCCGGTGTGGGGCTTGAATCCACCACCCTGAGATGGGGAGTCGCACCCTCTACTGACTGGGGCAGCCAGGTGCCCCCTATGTTCGTACCGTTTAATCTTTAATAAAGCCTGTGCTTGGCAGGTGCCTTGTAAATATTCCTGCACGTTTGGCCCTGGGCTCTCAGGCCAGGACTGCCCAGAGTGTCCATGCACAATCCTGTCCATGTGGGGCTGATGCCCCAGAGCCACCGCCCGTCCCCACTGGGGAGACACCTGCTGGGTGGGCGCTGCCAGGACTCTGGATGCACCTGCTGCCCTGTGCCCGGGCCGGGCCCCTGCCTCTTCCCCCAGCCCCGCTCCTTGGGCAGAAGGGGGGCTCCCCGAGGATGTGGGGGCCGGAGGCTGCAGGAAGGGAAGGGACGGCCCCGTTACCTTCTCAGTCACCAGTTCCTTCTCTGCAACCTCAGGAGCCAGAAAAAATGTGTCGTAAGTGCCTATAAGAGAAAAGCCCAGGTTCTGAGTTCACCTTTCAGCCTTGGGTGCCGTGGCGGGGTGCAGGTCGGGGGGCTCCCAGGTACGCACCGTTGGCAGGGGGTGGGCTGAAGAGCACGGCCCCGTCTTCGGCCACCAGCACGGAGTCCAGGCACAGGTAGGCTGCAAGAGAAGGTGAGGGTCAAGGCAGCTGGAATCACTGGGGGAACCAGCATTTCTCCGCATTGTCTGTCCCCAGGTCCTGCTCTTATCCAGGGGCCATTGGCCAGTCACACTGTCCAGGAGGGTCAAGCTTCGGGGAGCCGCAAGCCTGGTCCAGTTTGCCTCCTGGGGGACAGCGTCGCACCTGCCGAGGGGCTGCGGCCGTCCACGCCCCCTCACTTTAGAGCAGGGCCATCGCCCCTCTGCTGCCCCCTGACATCTCTAGGGCACCCCCGGCCCCAGTGGGGACACAGCCACCTGGCCCCTGGGTGTCCCCGTGGCACACACGAGGCCATGTGCTGCCCTTGGTCCTGGGCCTGGGCCACATGCTGGGGGCAGCTGAACAGAACCACAGACGGGGCGTCACCTGGGTGCTCGCTGTGTGTGCGCAGGGCAGTGAGACACGCGTGGGACAGCGCCCAGAGCTCATACTCCTTGAAGGGCCGGCCCAGCTGGCACAGGAGGTCCTGCAGGGAGACGCCCTGTGGGGGGAGGTCGCATCTTAGCGAGAAGGGGCCGGGGGGTCGGCTGGGCCCAGGTCGCTGGGCCAGTGACAGGTGGGAACCCCTTCAAGTGAGGGCGGGATGTGCCTCCCACGCAGCCCAGCCTTGACCAGCAAGGCCCCCGCGTGTCCCGCACAGACGGACAGACGGACAGACAGAGGAGCACGGCGGCTCCGGCCACATGCAGCGTCTCTCAGCCGCGAGAGGAGGTGCAGACACGCCCTGAGGGCATGAGGCTGAGAGAAGCCAGATGCGGAAGGACGCGGGCCGCGTGATGCCACCTGCACAAGGTCCCTGCGGGGTCGCCTTCCCAGAGACAGGGGCGCAGGGGGCGCCGGGGAGCCGGGACAGAGCCTCAGCCTGGGGTGGGGGTGGGGGTGGGGGGCTGCACCGCAGGGAATGTGCTGGGTGACACGGGGCCGGGTGCCTGACGGCGGGGACAGCAGATTCTGTGCCGTGAGTTTTACTCTAGCCCCACCGTCCCCGCCACACACGGAAATGTCCCCGGGTCAGAAGGACGCGCTCAGCTGGAAGGTCGGGCTAGGGCCGCAGCCACCACCGTTTAGGGAAGGTTCCAGAGGCAGCGTCTGCCCCCTGGGCCCTGTCCATGCCCCGGGGTGCAGCCGCCCTGCTCTCCTAGCTGCTGCCAGCATGGCCGGCGGCCCATGTTTGGGGGGTGCCCTGCCCAGACGTCCCCACATGTGGGGGCAGCCCGCTTGGAAAGCAGGAGGTGCTTGCAGCAGGCCCTGGGTGGGCCTGGTCCCATGAGGCCTCTGGGCAGGGGAGCCTGCTGGTTAAGACCGTGCCTGGGCTCCCAGTCCGCGCTGCCCCTCACAGGCGCCCACCCTCCAACAGAGGGCATGCCCACGCCATGCCTCAGTTTACCGCCTGGCAGGTGGCTGTCTGAGGCTGCTGGGCATGGGAAGGTGGGCCCAGTCCAGGGCTGGGGTGTGTGAGGTTTTCCGGCCTTGGTGGCTGGAGGTCGGGTGGGTGGATCCAGGGGGTAGTGGAGACCACGTGAGCTGAGGTGTGGACACGCGTGTGTGCGGCGGGATCTGTCAGTGCACTGGGATCTTCTGGGTACACATTTGTTTTAAAGTAACTGTATCTTTGGGGGGCCTGGGTGGCTCAGTCGGTCAAGCATCCGACTCTGGGTTCGACTCAGGTCATGATCCCGGGGCGTAGGGTGCAGCCGGGTCGGGCTCCCCGCTCCATGGGGCATAGGCCCCAGGTCCGGGGTGAAGCCCAATGTGGGGCCGGAGCTCGGATCAAGTCAGATGCTCAACCGACCGCAGCACCCAGGTCCCAAGTCCTCACACAATTGCAGAGGAAGCCACTGCAGCCCCTGAGGGCCGGGGTGGGGGACAGGCCCAGAGGTCAGGGGCTCCTCCTGGGGAGCTGCCCCGGCAAGAACATGAACCCCAAGGCGGTGGCGTGCCTCCTCCAAGGGACGCACGGGGTGCTGCCTGCGGCCGGAGCCAGGTGAGGCCTGGGGCCCGCGGGCCTCGGGGACGCCCCACCTCCAGGGAGGCTGCAGCAGGGGCTCCGAGCGCGGGGCACCAGGCTGTGCTCAGGCGCCCTGCGGGCCCAGGCAGCTCGCCCGAAGCTGGTCGGTGACTGAGCGGGAGGCTGAGCTCCTCGCGGGACGGCAGCAGCCCCGGGCTGCCCACGGCCCGTCACCCACCTGCTCCGTGGCGGCGCTCGCCGGCTCCCCCGCTCCGTCCGGAGGCCCCCCGGCCCTGGAAGGCCCTCGGCCTGCGTCTCCGGGCTCTCGGGATCGGGGCGGCGGGCTTTCCTCCGCAGGGCTGCGGCCCGGCGCCCCCGCTGCCCTGTGCCCTGCGCTGGCGTCTGCAGCTCCTCCCTGCCGAGGCTCGGGCCCCCGCTCCGGCCACAGTCTGGTCTGGGGCTGCGTCGTGTAGCTGGAAAGGCCGCTCTTCCCGTCGAGGAAGGCCCTCCTGGGGTCTGGAGGGAAGACCTCAGAGGCGGGCAGCTGGAGCCCGGAGGGGGCCAGGGTCAGGCCGAGGGCGCTGGGCTCAGGGCCGTCGGGCAGGAGCCTGGGGAACGTCTGCACCTTCCTCAGGCGGCTGTCCAGGTCCCCCAGAGGGCGCTGGGCGTCCAGGATGAGGCTGGCCAGCCGCTCTCCGTTCCTCACCGGGGCTGACAGGAGGGGCTTGGCGGGCGGCTCCGGGGGGCCATGGGCTTCGCCGGCAGGGCGCGGGGGCAGGCCCTCGGGGTCGGCGGCACGGCCCCCGGGCGGCTTCCTGGGCCCCAGGCTTCCCGCGGCAGGTCTCCCGCGCCAGGCGCTCTCGTTGACATCTGGGCAGAAGCAAGGTGGTGGCTGCGGGGACCTCCCCGGGGGCCCTCCCAGCGGGGGGGGGTACCTCTCCTGTGCTCCCGGGTCCCCCTGGGTCCCCCACGCCTCCCGCAGGACCCACCCAGGACCACCTCCTTCGGCCTCCTGCTCACATACCCCCGCGGATTCTAATTATCGGGGCTCCAAAGGCTCCCGGGCCCTCCCCGCCTGCACGGCCGCCGGGTCTTCCTCAGGCCGCCCGAGCAGCGTGTCCCTTCCAGCACACGTCCACAGGCGATGCCCCCGACGGAAGGCACTGGGTCTGGCTGCGGCCCCGTCCCACGCACCATCTCCCCCACACTGTCTGGATCTCTGTGCAGAAACTGGCCCCTCTTGGTGGCCCACAGCCCCTCCTGTGGTGACTGCTCTCTGCCGCCCCGCTGCAGCCAAGCCTCAAGCCTGCGGTCCCCGGGGCGGTGTGGGGAGGGCCCTGCCGCCCCCAGAGGCTCTGCGCGCCTCCCCCGAGGGCCTCCAGGCTCCCTGCTCTAGGCACAGTGCAGAGCGGACGCCGGCATTTGTTCAAAACATGACTCGAGACGGAGCCAGGGTCCCACGAGAGCCGGGCAAGTCCCAGATGCTGCAGAACAGCTTCCACAGTGGAGAACTACGGGTCTGCTGGACACCGCGTGGAGACCCCGCGTGGAGACCCCGCGGGGTGTGTGAAATGTCCCCATGTCCGGGCACCGACCACTCATGGACTAGGATGGAGGTGAGAGGTCTGATACGCTCACTTCTCAACACGACCTGGGTTTGCACCCCCAGGTGCACAGGTGTCTGCAGAGTGTGCACACGGTGATTGAGAGTGATGGTGAGCGTCTGTGTCAATCTGCGAGCACGTTTGCCCAGGGGTCTGTACGCGTGGGGGAGTGCTGTGTCTGTGCACAAGGTAAGAGCGGGCGTGCATGACTTTGCACCTCCATGTATGTTTCTGTGACTGTGAGCAAGTGGGCATGCACATGTGGGGTCCTGTGGGGCACCTGCGACCTGTTTGCATACGTGTGCACGTGAGTGGGCGTTTGCAACGGTGTGGACCTGCGTGTCTGATCTGTGCTACGGTTTGTGCACACGCACGTATGTGAGCAGGTACGTGTGTGCATGGCCATCTCTGTGTGCATGTGCAAGCACACGTGCACCTGCTTACCTTGGAATGCTCCGAAGGACTCAATGGAGAGCACCCTCCTCCCGATGGCCGACAGGCTCCGGCAGAGGCGGCAGGAAGACGTGAAGAGCATCTTCTCTTCACACAGCGCGATGATGCTCTGCAGAGCGCGGGGGCGGCTCAGACGGGGAGGCGCACCCGGGAGGCCCGCCCCCCGCAGCCCCCCACCCGGCCTGCTTTCCGGCCTAAGGAAGCATCGTGTCCTGCGATTACAGAAAACCAGCCCGTGAGGATCACGAGCCAAACCTCTTCTAATAACAGCGTGCAACCGCGGGTCAAGCTCTTCTTCAAGCGAAAGGCAACGTGGCACCAAGGCCCGGGCGCAGAAGAGCCGCGACGCGCAGGGGAGAGGCGCGCGGGCCTCGTGTGCGAGCGGGGCCCTCAGGTCTCCGCCTCGGGGGTGCAGGCGGGGAGGGCCCCCCGCTGTTTACCTCAAGGTCGGGCCGGTCCCTGGGGTCCTCCGCCTGCATCTGGTTCAGCAGCTCCTCCAGGTCTCGGCTCAGCCGGGGCTCGGGCTCGGGCTCCGTCACATACTCGAGGGCGGCCTTCAGCGTGGCCCCCAGGGAGTAGATGTGAGCCTGCGGCGCCGAAAGCCTGTCAGCGCCTGGAGCGTGGCTGGTCCCCGCGCGCCTCTGCCCTCCACCCCCAGCCAGACATGTGTTGAGGGGGCACCTGCCGGCCACGGGGGGCACAAGGAGGGCCCGGCGGCTCCCCCACCGCAGCTCATTGCAGTGCCCGCGCCCCCCGGGCCTCGGGGTCGCCCCGGCCCCCGGCTCACCCGACCCGACGCTAGGATCCCGCTGTGATGGCGGCTGTGCCTCCGAAGGACCGTCGTCTCTTTTTATTACTTATTTATTTATTTTTAAAAGATTTTATTTATTTATTCATGAGAGACACACACAGAGAGAGGCAGAGACCCAGGCAGAGGGAGAAGCAGGCCTCGTGCAGGGAGCCCGACGCGGGACTCGATCCCGGGTCTCCAGGATCAGGCCCTGAGCTGAAGGCAGCGCTAACCGCGGAGCCACCCGGGCTGCCCCATCGTCTCTTTTTAAATCTGCGTTTCTCTAATTAGGAACGGGGCCGAGCATCTGTTCGTCACTATCCGTGGCTAACTTTCCTCTCTCTGCCCACTCACGGACCCCGTTGTTTCCCGTTCGGGGTGGAGCCCTGGCGCACAGGGGATCTGACTGCCGGTCTGTGTGCCACACATATGTTCTTACCATTTGTCACTTAGCTTTTGACGTGGTTCACACATCTTTTGACATTCACAAATTCTAATGTTTAATTTGTGAAAACAGACGTTTTATTTCTTTAGCTGCTTCTTAGGAGGAGCTTCCCTATCCCAAGATGATAAAAACAGCTTTCTTTTGTTTCCTCCAATATTTTTATAATTTTTACACATCCAGCTCTAATCCGTCTGAAATCTGTCAGCGTGCTGGCGTGTCGTAGGGATCTGGGTTTGCTTCCCTCCTCGTGGAGAGCAGCCCCGGCACCATTCACACAAGATTCCAGCCTCTGCTCGGAGCTGCTGCCCGACCTGCTGCTCCGCTGGGGCCCTGGTACCACTGGCCTCTCCTCCTCTAATGCTGGTCCCTGAGTCTGTCCTATCCAGACTGCACTGTTTTTTTTTTTTTTAAACTTTTTTTTTTGATTTTTATTTATGATAGTCACAGAGATTGAGAGACAGAGAGAGAGAGAGAGGCAGAGACACAGGCAGAGGGAGAAGCAGGCTCCATGCACCGGAAGCCCGATGTGGGATTCGATCCCGGGTCTCCAGGATCGCGCCCTGGGCCAAAGGCAGGCGCCAAACTGCTGCACCACCCAGGGATCCCCAGACTGCACTGTTTTGATTATAGTAGCGTCAGCGTGTATTTTCATATCGTGAGGACAAGTTGTCCCTTTTTTCCTCAAAAAGTTAGATTATTTTCACATTTGTCAGCTTTTAAAAAACAAATATAGGTTCTCCCATTCCCATTCACAAAACAAACCAAAAATGGTTGCGATTTTATTGTAATTGCACTCCCATTGCAGAATTTGGGAAGGACCAAGTTCTTGTAAAATAAAATGTTAATAAAATAAAATAAAATAAAATAAAATAAATAAAATAAAATAAAATGTTTAGGATGTTGCCAGGATGGTAACAGGACGTCCCCAGAGCCTGTCCCTCAACAGCCATCCAACCTCCTCCGTGGGGGCCACGGGAGCCAGCGCCTCACGCAAGGGACCTGCGTGTCAGCTAACGGGTAGACTTCGGTCCTGGCTGTGACCCCACTGCTGGACCAGCCAGAAAAACAGAGAGGACTCAAATTAGTAGAATCAGAAGTGCAAGAGGAGACGTTACAAGTAACCCCACAGGAACGCCCTGATCTTAAGAGACTAATATGAACAACTGCACATCAACAAATCGGATAACCTAGGGAAAAAAAAAAAAACGGGTGAATTCCTAGAAACCTACAACCTACCAAGATTGAATCATGAAGAAATAGATGCTCTGAACAGACCGTGAATAGTAAGGAGATTGAATCAGTAATCAAAGGCCTCCCAACAAAGAAAAGCTCAAGACCAGATGGTTTCCCCAGCAAATCCTACCAAACATTTAAAGAAGAATTAATACCAATCCTTCTTAAATTCTTCCAGAAACCTGAAGAGGAGGGAATACTTGCAAACTCATTTTGTGAGGCCAGCATTATCCCGATACCAAAGTCAGATAAGGGACCTAAGTAAAACCACAGAGTAATATCCCCGATGAACACAGATGTAAAAGTTCTCAACAAAACGTTAGCAAAGTGAATTTAACGACACATCAGAAGGCTCATACATCACGGTCACGTGGGATTTGTCCCTGGGATGCAAGGGTGACTCAGCATCGGCAAATCAGTCAACGCAACGACTACATTAGTAGAGAGAGGAATAAAAATTGTATAATCATCTTAATAGACGCAGAAAAAGCATTTGACAAAATCCAACATCTCTTACAATAAAAACTGTCAAGAGATTGGGTATAGGAGAAACACGTCTCAACATCACAAAGGCCACATGTGACGGCCTCCAGCCAACTTCACACTCAATGGTGACAGGGTGAGAGCTTTCCCTCTGAGATGAGAACAAGACAGGGGTGCCCACCGTCCCCTCTCCCATCTGACACAGCACTGGAAGTCCCAGCCAGAGCAATCAGGCAAGAAAAAGAAATAAAATACATCCGAATCAGAAAGGAAGAAGTACAGCTGTCTCTATTTGCAGACATTATGGTCTTACATATAGAAAACTCACCGAAAAGGCTCCACCGAAACTCTTAGAACCAATCAACAGGGATCCCTGGTGGCTCAGCGGTTTGGCATCTGCCTTTGGCCCAGGGCGCGATCCTGGAGACCCGGGATCGAATCCCACATCGGGCTCCCGGTGCATGGAGCCTGCTTCTCCCTCTGCCTGTGTCTGTCTCTCTCTCTCTCTCTCTCTCTCTCTCTCTCTCTCTGTGTGTGTCTATCATGAATAAATAAATAAATCTTAAAAAAAAATAACCAATCAACAAACTCAGTAAGGTTGTGCAGGACACAGGTCAACATGCAGACGTCAGCTTTCTATATACGAACAATGATATATAGGAAAAATAAAGGAAGAACGCAATCCCATTCACGATAGCATCAAAAACTAAAAACAATAATTAGAAATAAATATAACCAAGAAAGCGAAAGTTCTGTACACGGAAAAAGTTTAAGACTTTGGTGAAAGAAATTAAAGGAGACACGAATACATGGGGAGATACCCCGCGCTCACGGACTGGAAGAATTAGTGTCGCTGCAGTGTCCATCCATACCACCCAAAGTCAATTCCTACGGCATTTTTCACAGAAATAGAACAATCCTAAAACTCATCTGGAACCACAAAAGACCCCTAAAGAGCCGAAGCAATCCCGAGAAAGAAGAACGGAACTGGAGGCGCCGCACGTCCTGATTTCAAACTTTGCTTCAAAGCTATGGTGATGCGAACAGAGCGGTCCTGGAATGAAAACATCACACAAGCCAACGGAACCGAATTGAGAGCTGGCAATGAGCTCACGTCTATACAGTCAGCCTGTATTTGACACGGGAGCCAATAGTACTCCACGGGGAAGGGATGGTCTCTTCGATAAGTGGTGTTGGGAACACTGGACAGGCCCCTGCAGGAGAACGACGCTGGGCCATCTTACACCACTTACAAAAATTAACTCAAAATGGATGAGACGCCACGTAAGATCCCAAACCGCGTAACACTACTGGAAGGAACCACGGGAAAAAGCTCTACGACGTTGGCTTTGCCAACGATTGTTTGGATGCGACAGCAAAAGCACAAGCAACGAGAGAAGAAACGGGTCAGTGGAATTACATCCAACACTGAAGATTCTGGACGGCACGGGAAACAGTCCGCAGAGCCAGAAGACGACCCACAGCATGGGAGGAAACATTCGCAACCCGCCTGTCTCCTGGGGATCTAATATCCAAAAATACATAAGGAACTCGCACAACTCGAGAACAAAGGAACCATCTGATTGAGAAACGGGCGGAGGAACTGAGCCGACACCTTCCCAGAGAAGACGTCCAGATGCCAACGGACACATGAGAAGATGCTCCACGTCCTCGTCACCAGGGGAGTGCGAGTCAAAACCACCCCGAGGCGTCACCTCGCGCCGGTCAGAACGGCTGACGTCGAAAAGACAAGCGATAACGTGTGTTGGGGAGGATGTGGAGAAGGGGGAACCCTCTGGCGCCGTTGGTGGGGACGCGAAACGGTGCGGCCACTGTGGAAACAGCGCGGAGGTTCTCAAGGGTCAAAGCGGGAGCCACCTTGTCACCCGGCCATTCCACTCCTGGGCGCGGATCCAGAGGAGCTAAAATCAGGATCTCAGGCAGGTGTGTGCCCTGCCACGTTCACGGCAGCATTATTTATAAAAGGGCAAGATGTGGAGGCCGCCTGGGTGCCCGTCTTCGGCTGAACCGGCAAAGCAGTGTGGTCTAGAGACAGCGAGTGGGGTTCAGAGAGGAGGGCCCTCGAGGGCGCGGGGCTGCGGGAGGCGAGCCTGGCGGGGAAAGACACGACGTGCACGTGGGATCTAAGAAAGCCAAACTCTCAGAAACAGTGCCGGTGGGGGTGGGGGTCGCCACGGGCCGGGGCTGGAGGAGGCAGGGGGACGCTGGAGAAAGGACGCAGGGCTGCGGTCCCAAGATGAGCAAGCTCCGCATCTGACCCGCGGCTCAGCGACACGGGACGCCCGCCGCGCTGCAAACCTCGAGGCTGACACGGTAGATCCGGGTGTTCTCACAGCCAGAAGGAGCGGTAGCTGCGTGATGCCGGCGGTAACCGTCCCTAGAAGTGGGAAGCATTTTGCAAAACACGAACATGTCAAATCACCTGTGCACGGACTCGATGCTCCGTGTCGGTTCCGTCCCCGAGGCCGCGGGGCGACGCTCAGGGGCTCGGACGGTCCGTCTCCTCGTTTTCTTGCATCTCGATTTCTCATCTTTGGAAAAGTGGTTCCCTTTACATTTCTGGCCCCCGGCTCTGTTTACCGCAGACCTTCCATGGTTGTTGCTATTATCAATGA